GCTTAATTAGAATCTTAGAGTAAACTAGTTTCTAGTTCTAGATTAGAGAAATAGTAGAAAGCTCTAGATTAATTAAGTACTAGATACTCTTATCTTAGGTATAAGAACGGAGTTATGTAAACTATATTAGCTTATTATTTCTAGTTTTTAAAAGAATTATAGTTATAATGATATAATTGTTATAATATATAGTAATAGATAATTTAGAGAAGATTAATTAATTATAGAGTAATTAATTTATTATTTAAAGTCTTAGCAGTATAAAATGCGTAGAGAGAATTATACTATAATCTTATAGCGCTAGGCTTATAACTATTAAAGGCTAGAGAACTTTAAATAAATAGAAGATATTAAGAATAATAGACTGATTAATCTACGAATCTAGATTAGTAGATTAGTTAGACTATATACTTATTTAACTAAGTCTAACTCTATTTAGTAATCTATCTTAGTCTTTATCTAATCTACTATTTCTCTATCTAATCTTATTAGATAGATTAAAGGATTGGATAGATTATGTAATCTAGGTCAGATTAGTTACTAACTAACTAACCCATTAGTTCTGCGACATCTAATTATTTTGATAGATTTAATTTATTAGATAATAAATCTAACTAGTGTAATTCATTAATTAGATATACTAAGTTATTAATCTTTATATAAATTATATTAGTTTAATAGATATTACTAGTTAAGGCAAAGATCGCGATCATTTAATCATATTATCTCTTAGCTAGTATATTACTAGAATAAGTAATTAGACTATAGTTCTTAGTAAGTTAGAATTCTACTTCTTTTTAGACTACTTATTATAGACTTAGTAGATTAACACGAAAGTCTAGTATAAGGAGAACTTCTTTTAGTACTACTAATCTACTAGTACTAGTAAATATAATTAGTACTTCTTTTTTAGCTATTACTAGAAGTAGTATTTCTATAATACTCTATTTAATATAAGTATTAGATATACTAGTAAGATTCTAGAATAGAGTTCGATTATAGTAGATATACGTACTAACTCTACGATTCAGTATCTAATTAATAGATTTAGTAGATGAAATAAATCTAGTAGGATTAATATAAGTAATATTATAGTCTACTAATATAATTATAGATAGAGCTTCTTCTAATTTAAATTAGCCCTAGTTAGTGCGCTTAGATAGATCTTTTTACTAATATTAATTAACTAGATGCCTATTTCTTCTATAGTAGCTACAGTGCTTTAAGCTTCTATTAGATCTCTAAGTTAATAAGAATCTTTCTATATCCTTAGAAAATTAAGATTAATAAGATTAATTAAATCTATAATTAGATTAATAATATAGATTAGATTAATAATATAGATTAGATTAATAGGATAGATTAGATTAGTAGAGTATATTAGATTAATACAATTTAATATAGCTCCTTTATATTAAGCTATTTAAGCTACTAGAGCTATTCTTAATAGATCTAAGACGTCTAGATTCGTTAATGATCTAGCTGCACATTATTTTAAGAATAATTTCTATATTTAATCTAAAGTCTTACGTAATTATAGTAATAATATAATTAAATTCTAAATTTAACTTATTAAGTATTAGCACAGTAATAAATCAATTCGGTAGTTTAACTTTACGAGCTTTTAAGCTTAGAGTAAGCCTTAATAGCTTTTAAAGATAGATTTGCATATTATTTCAGTCGCTTATAAGTATAGTATTAATTAGATCTTTATAGATTAAGAAATTAGAGCTAAACTCTTTCTAAGAGTATAGAGTTTTAATATTATTCTATAGCTTTACTAGACTAGTATACTCCTTTATCTAAAGTAGTAGTCTGTTTTTAAGACTAAGTCTAATTATAGCTAGCGCCTTTATTTTCTTTTCTTTTAATTAACTAAATATATTTAGATAATCATCTCATATAAGATTAGATAGATCTATATCTATTATATTAGTATAATCCTACTAAATAAGAATAGATTAAATCCGCAGTACGTATATATTAAAAGTTAAGCTCCCTTTAAGTTATAGTACTTTTAAGATACTATTAGCTATTTTAATCTATAATTCTAGATTAGATAATAAGCTTATATATATACTAATGCTAGTATAGTTACTATTCCTTCTATAAAGAACTCTAGCTACTAATTAATATAGATTAATATATTATAATCAGCTAATCTAGCTTTAGATAAACCTAGTATACAGAGTTTTTTAGCTTCTTTAGCCGTAATTATCTCTTAACACTTATTATTACCCTAGCTCTTACTAAGAATTTAGCCTAAATAGTACTAGTTCTTACGTAAACGTTAAGCCTTTTATAGTAGACTTTACTAGAACCTTTAATTAAACGCGTAATCTAGGCATATAACCGATTAGAATAAAAAGAGTACTACTTATTCTATAGCTAGCTTAGAGATAGAGTCGTCTACTTATCTAGTAATAGACTTAGAGGTAGCGAATTAATAGGTTCTAAAATAAAAAGAGAGAAATAATACTAGAGGAGAGAGATAAGAATTAGATTAAACTAATCTAGTAGTCTAATCTGTTCTTATAATCTACTCTGTGCAATCTACTCTATACAATCTAATCTACTTTCTATCTAGTATTTCTATTACTAGTATTTATACTAGCTAGTAGTAATAGATTACGTTATATATACGTAATCTTTATTTATCTCTTACACTACTAATACACTTATAATACACTAGTAGTATAATAGTATAGATCGCTAGGGTATAGCGATCTAGTTAATTGATAGATTAATCTTATTAGGGATTAGCTAAGTAGCTTAGATCTCTAATATTAATACTTGTATTACTGTAATTAAAGAAGAGTAGTAGGGTATTTCGTAAAAGAATATAGATAACTGTATTTTATCTATGCTAAGACGTTATAGAGCTGTAGTAGAATCTAAGGGGTGATATACTAAGTACTAGCTTTAATATATTTTCTTTTATCTTCTTTTATTACTTAGAGATTACTTTTACTTGTAACTTTTATTATACTATATATATATAAATTATATCTCTATATAATATAGATTATATTTATAGTGATATATATATTATAAAATCTCAAAAAACTTGAAAATTTAAGCGCGAAAAAAATTCAAATATCTATAGATTTCTTAAGCACGAGGTTTTCGGTTCATTTTAGCTAACAAAAAGGCTCACTTACTGTCACGTGACTACCCTATGCTAAACTAGGACATCTTGGCTTTAAAATGAATTAACCAGTTTTAGGATAGCTTTTCTAGTTATTAAGTAATAAATGTTTAAAAATGACAACTTTTTGGATTTGGACTTTTTTTTGTCACCCCACTGTAACAGATAGCAGAACGCCTTAGGATAGCAGCTATCTCTAATATCACAACTATCCCAGGGAAGGTTAGCAACTAAGGGATAGTAGCACTAGATGTAATAAGGATATAAGGATGAATAGGTTTTATAATTTACTCTCGTTGTAGTCAATTTAAATTATATTTTTTTACTAGTTACTTAACTTCACAAGATTAATACTTGTTAGTCTATAGCAATATAGATTAGAGTTTATCGAACCTTTTGTTATTATTTCTATAAGCACGCCACTCTACTACATCGCTAGACAAATACCTTACGGAGCTATTCGCCTTATTCTACTCGCTCTAACCCGGATTAAGCTTAGAGAAGTATTAGTACCTAACCTATAGCGGAGGTGGGCACTAATGCCCACTAAGTTGATAATACGCAACAACTACTCGGCCGCAGCTAACCTACTAGCAAAAGATAAGCACGAGAATAATCTGAACTGATTATTCTAGTATAGTATAATATATATAGGCATGTAACTCCGTTACATAACCCCGTATAACACAGATTAGATTAGTTAAATTCTTTAATCTCTCTCCCCTAGCATTATTTCCTTTCTACCTAGAACTTATCGATTTGCTACCTGTAAGTTTATCGCTAGACAAGTAGACAGCTCTACCTCTGAGCTAGCTAAAAAAAATAGTCCTTCTTATTCTAACACCGATCTCTTGCCACCGCAACGTCCCGATAGCATATGTTATTCCTAATCCCCTCCCTGTCACATAGTCAAGACAATGTCCGCCCGTATATCTAATCCCAATAATAAGTCATTCTCAACGATGCTAAATACTAGGAACAGAGCCACTATAACAGGAGAGTAGAGCCTCAGAAAGGATACGCCGTGATTGCAGACTAGAGATGCGGGCTGGTAGGACTACCTAGTCAAACAAGCTTGTCCAAGCATTGCGCTTGACGTCGACATCATTACCTTGCGTGTACGCTAAAAAAAATGTTGCGAGTATCTGCCGCGGCAATGCTTGATTTACCATTTCCTGCATGACTGACGAGGGCCAACGAGTTTATTTTCGTGTATCTACATTGAATTGCACGCGACTTAATTTAACGCTACCAAGTACTTTCATTTGCTCCCGAATCCATGAAATCGTTATATAATTTCAGAAACGCATTAATGGCTTCAACACTGTCAATACTCTGATCTTTCTTTTGTCCATATGGCAAAGTCGATGGCAATTCCTCTTCCAGCTAACGAAATGATTGACACTGGCAACGCACAAAAGAATTGCGAAGAGATGGTAAGCTTCGGTATCAACAAGGCGAATAACTCGGGAATTTCCGTCAGCATCGAACGATGTATATATGCTCTACAATGGTCCTGATACGAGAGATTCCAGCGTCACTGCCGCAATGTAGCAGCGCCTGACTTGAAGAATCAGTAGCAATTGATCTCGGTATATTTAACATCTGGCTAAGAGCTGACCTAACTTGAAATCGCTTTTAGTAGGCAGGGTATAGCGGCACAAGGGTAATTACTTGTAATGATCTCAGAAATGGGGGCTCGCTCCAAGGTGGTCATGGTTCATATTTGCTTTGATATAAAAAGCCTCGTTTTCCTTCCCCGCGCTATTGGTCGCCATTCGAGAAGAAAAAAACTGAGGGGCTTTTGGAGTTACTCTGCCTCTTGGGGTTCGGTTGTTCTACGGCTGCAAGGTGTAATGGTCATGTGGAGCTTTTCGGTGATTTAGATGTACGGGAACAGCGAGTCTGGTACGGGCAGATGGTAGAGTTTGGCGATTTGTGCTTGAAGTTGGTTTTTAAGTCTAAATTCAAAGTAGACGTACTATTGCTGTCGATTTATGTGGTTTTAGGTTCCATATTAGGCAAATGACTTCAGTTGTTCGTGGTAAGAAAGATATTGTACGGTATCAGTCATAATACTTGACACTGAATAAGAGCCCCGTGCATAACATGACGATATTCCAAGCAACATAAGGGGCAAGTATTCGAATTTTGTAGCCCTAATGTACTGGATTTAGATATCGTGACAAACGCCGCCCAAATGCAAGTGGTAGAAAGGATGCTCGCGTGGAAAAGGTCAACTGGTGCAGCTTAAACAACAGTCTTGCGAGCCTTGATATCGTTGGCTCTTTGCTTCCTCAGATTCCTTCGAATCCTCTCCTTCCTCTCTTGCCGATTGTCTGCCCTCTGGTCATGCGCCTCGCCCGTCGCGCGCTCCTTCTTCTCGTCAACCTCGACCAACCAGTCATTCTCACCATCCTTGTTCTTGCCCTTGTAGCCCCACTTGGGAACCCACTCGCCCTTGGTCTCGTCGTAGACCAGGTTGCTGTCGCGCTTCTGCTTCTTGATGCCCTTCTTGGCGGCAAACTTTTCCCATTTGGTGGGCTCCTTGGCGGAGGGAATAGGCTTCTCACGAGGGAGAGGTGTGGTTGGCGCGGGAAGGACCAGATGTACGCCTTCCGAGGTGGACTTTACCTGGCAGGTAGACAGGAGCTGGTTGATGAGTGCTTGGGCGGCATCGCGGGCTGTGGCTTTAAGCGCTTCTTCGTCGGCGCCGGCGGCAATGGGGTTGGGGTCATTTGCGAGCAAGTTTCCCAGGTCAAATGTAAAAGGTGTGGGCTTGTCGACGGTAATAGGTCTAGTTCGGGTGAGCAAATAGTGGGCTTGCAAGAGGGGAAAATGCACAGCTTACAATCGGCTTGAGACAGTTGAGTCTGCGACCGAGTTGACGTCCATGGCGCCTCCATTAATTTCGTCGGCGAGCTGCGACTGCGTAGGTGACGTGACGCCCAATGCGACGCCGCCGCCCATTTCTGTGTCTGACATGGTTGTTGGATTTGTTCGTATGTCGAGTCTTGTCTTGCCGTGGGATGCGCAAGAAGTCAATGTTGCGCCAGGCGGAGAGATCAGAATAATTTTTGGACGTCGAGGGACCGTGCACATGCGGCGGACCTCCGAGCGTGCGGATATCACATCACAGAATTCAATCTTCAGCACCACACAAGTCGCCCATTGCGGAGGGCCTGAGCGTCATTGGCCTGCCATGCCTCCTTCAACATGTCTGCGCAGCTTTTCGCAGTTGTCACTTGATGCCACACCCGCCGTGTCCCGCCTGCTGCGCCCACATGTAGCCTGCTTTTCCACATCATCGATGCAATATGCCGCCGTGGCCAAGAAGAAGGGCATGGCGGCTGCCCCCAAGAAGGGTGTCAAGTCCCTCAACACCAAAAAAGGCAAGAAAGCACCTGGCGCGGGTGATACGGGAAAGAGACCGGCCCAGGGCGAAAGAAAGGCTCAGCGAAAGCGCATTGTGCTGAGCAACGACAATGCCCTAGAGGTGTCTTCGCTGCAAGACCTAGCCAAGGACAATGTGCTCAGTGACAAGAACGAGGGCAAGGTCATGGGTCTGCCACAGGAAAATGTCGTAGATGCGCTGAGAGCCGTCGAAGCTTTCAAGACGTCCCAAGGATGGAGCCTTTTCCGCCGGCCCGCCGTGTTGATGCGAAAGGAAGCAATTCAGCTAGCGAAGTTGTTCAAGGACGTAGAAGACTCGGCAGCCGGGCAAAAAAAGACTGTGCGGAGGATATTGTGCGGCGAGAGAATGAGTGGGAAGAGCACTCTGCTTCTCCAGGGTCTGGCCATGGCCTTCTTGCGCGACTGGTTCGTGATCAATTTGCCAGAAGGTATGTGTGTTATTGAAGACTCGGGAAACATGAGTTCGCTGACATGACCCAGCGCAAGACCTTGTCAACGCTCATACGGAATATGCTCCTCTCCCCGACTCAGAACCGCTGCAATATACCCAGGATACATATACAGCCAACCTTCTCCAGCAGATGCTCAAAGCAAATAGTGCCTTCCTTCAAGCCACAAAGCTCAGCACAAAGCCCAACCTTCCTCTCCCGCTCGCTACAAAGGCAACATTGAAAGAGCTAGTCGCGCTCGGCGTGGCCAATCCCGAGGTCTCATGGCCAGTCTTCGTAGCCCTGTGGAACGAGCTCTCATTGCCGGGGCGCCCTCCAATCCTACTTGCTCTCGATGGACTATCACACATCATGCGCCACTCCGAGTACATGTCTGCCCAAGTGAAGCCTATCCACGCCCATGATTTGACACTTGTGCGCCACTTCGTCGACCACCTGTCTGGGCAAAAGAAATTCGCCAATGGTGGAGTAGTTCTGGGCGCAACATCACAATCAAACTCTCCTACGTCTTCGGGTTTAGACTTCTGCATCCAAGTAGCTCAGGCTCGCAAAGTGTCGGCTGACAAGGTTCCACAATGGAATCCGTACAAGAGCGTAGACGCCCGTGTCATGGAGGCTCTCAAGGGCCTGCACGACAATTCATCAGATTTCAATATCATTGAGGTTGGCGGGCTAAGCAAAGAGGAGGCGCGATCCATCATGGAGTACTACGCCGAGAGCGGCATGCTGAGACATCGAGTCGACGAGGGCCTCGTGACGGAGAAGTGGAGCTTGGCGGGCATGGGTAACATTGGGGAGCTGGAGAAGGCCAGTGTGCGGATGCGGTTGTAGTTGCTGTACTATACATGTTCTTGTAAATCATCTACTACCCGCAATGGCAAGCGCGCGTTGACGCATCACGTGTATCAATTACAGTTGTTGGGCAAGGAGTAGAGGTATGTTTAGACCCACAGGTTTGCCTAGTGCGCCAATCCAGGCTATGAGGTATGCTTCTGCCGTCGTGTCCTTGTGCAGGCTAGCTTGCATGACCTGGGCGGTCTGGCACGGATGGATGAAGAATACAGGTGTGTTAGTGATTGGATGTTCCTAGCAAATGTGAGTCCTGGTGTTCTTTTCTTCATCGTTAATGTCTAGCCATACAGCCATGGAGATGCCTCCGATGACGCCCGTGTTGGTGTCTTGCGTCTGGGGCCTGAAGTGCGGCATGACAAGATGGTCGTACAGAGTCGCCATTGTGGGGGGATAGCGATGCAGTGAGTCCTGTATGCCAAAGTACAGCACTGGGACTTGGTAGACTGGAGAGAGCACAGCATCGTAGACGACGATTGTCGGGGGCACTGCACTCTCGTTCAGAGCCTCCTATGCCATGTCAATCAGTGGTCTGCTCTATCAACTCTACTACCCCAACAGCAAGCAACCCACCTCGTCGTCTTCTACCAAATCATCAAGCTCGTCTAGCACCTCGTCTGCGTCTTGCACGGAGCCGTTGCTAGAGGGCAACCCCCGCGTGAGGGGCTTGGTGATTCGCAGCATAACGGTCCCATGTCGGTGCAACTTCTCCGCAGACAGCCACTCAGTCTGCATGCTGCGCACGCACTGGAAGCGTTGCAGCAGATGGACACAGCCCTGCTCAAACTCTGCTTCGCCAAGGCGGGGAAAGGCCACTGGCATAGTGTGATGCAACTGACTGTCGACGACGGCGATGTGTAGAGTACATGCGTATGGTATGTATATAGCATGGAGGTTGATGTCGCAGCGGGGAAGCTGGCCGGGCCAGTGAGGCGAGCCCCTGTCGCGTCAAGAGATGCTAGCCAGGACACGGCTGCCTGGAGCGAGGCCTGGCGAGGATATGCGAACATTCGAGGCTAGTCAGCCTCAGTGTAGCCTAGTAGCCCCAACTCTCCGCCATCCTACTCGCTTCCACCATACAACCAATCTGCTCCATGATGCCATCCTAGACGCGATCGTCTGAACTGCCTGCATTGACCGTCGCTGCCTCGACCCACCCGCTCACCTCACTCACCACCTGTCTTGGTCAGGATGCCGGCGCAAACAGAGAAAAGCCAGCTCAAGCGAGGTCGCGTATGTCCCCATCGCTCCAGATGATGCACTGGCCACGGGCGAATTGCTAACACTGCAATCGCGACAGCTGTCTCAAGGCGAGCAAGTTGAGCCTAAGAGGACCCGCCACTCGCGCCTTTCGCCTCCTGCAAACGCTAGTCGTCTGAAGCAGGGCCCTCTGCCTTCGCCTGTCACCAACAAGGAATCCACTGGCGACCCTTCGCAGGATCGCAAGGAAGGAACCCAGAGCCCCCCTTCTGCCCGTGGTCCCAGCCAGGTTGCACGCGGTGGCCTGTCGTCGCCGCCGCCCTCGGATACCCAGCCCTTTTCGCAGTTCGTCTACCCGCCTGAAAACCGGACATATGCAGTCGAGGATGAGGAGGGCGAAGAGGTGTGGGGTTATCTAGTGCCCATGGACAGCAGTGCTGGCGATGTAATGGTTTTGCGCCGGAGACAGGCCTGTCCAGTTCCCAGCACAATCGTCGGACAGACCAATGGCAAGGAGCACGTAAGCAAAGGCGAGTACAAGGGCCAGGAAGAGCATTACGAGAAAGAGAAGCAAGAGTGCGGTGTTCCCGCGGGTGGATATCTCATAGGCCGCCACCGAGAGTGCGGTAAGTCTGCCATGGTGCGATGCGTAGCAAGCTTCCTCTGACATGCCCAAGACAAGGTGCTAAACTCACCAACCGTTTCCAACCGCCACTGCCTATTGTTCACAGAGAAAAAGGGGGGCGACGTTGTTGCGGTACTCGAGGACTTGTCGGGCAATGGAACCTTTGTCAACGACACGTTTGTCGGACGGAACAAGCGACGCGAACTGCGTGAGGGCGACGAAATCGCCATCCTCGACGAAGCCCGCTACGTCTTCAGATACCCGCTCAAGCGCAACACACACCGGTTCCGACAGCAGTACACCATACAAGAGCAACTGGGCAAGGGCCATTTTGCATCCGTCTACCTTTGCGCGGAAAAGTCAACAGGCATACGGCATGCAGTCAAGAAGTTCGAGAAGCGCAGCGGTCCCGGAGAAAAGTCAAAGGTGGAGGGCTTGCAGCAGGAGATTGCCGTGCTCATGAGCGTTAGCCACCCAGCGCTTCTTTGTCTCAAAGACACATTTGATGAAGACGATGGAGTCTACCTTGTTCTTGAGCTGGCGACAGAGGGCGAATTATTCAACTGGATTGTGATGAAGCAAAGGTTGACCGAGGATGAGGCTCGCAAGGTCTTTGTGCAATTGTTTCAGGCGGTTAAGTACCTGGTAAATCATGGCACTCTCGCACCCTGTCCTGTTCTGACACGCACTAGCATGAACGTAACATTGTACATCGAGATATTAAGCCTGAGAACATTCTGCTCACCGACAAGGAGCTGTCTATTAAGCTGGCCGACTTTGGTCTTGCCAAAATCATTGGTGAAGAGTCGTTCACGACTACGCTGTAAGTTGACTCAAGTTGTATCAGAGTTCGTCACTAACGCAGGCAGGTGTGGTACTCCATCATGTATGTTTTTCTAATTTGCCTGCCATCAGGCCGATGCTAACAATGACAGATGTTGCGCCTGAAATTCTAGAAAACTCAAACCATCGCCGGTACACACGTGCTGTCGACGTGTGGTCATTGGGAGTCGTCTTGTACATATGCCTATGCGGTTTCCCTCCCTTCTCAGACGAGCTATACAGCGCCGAGAACCCGTACACATTGTCTCAGCAGATCAAGATGGGTCGGTTTGACTATCCATCGCCATACTGGGACTCTGTTGGCGACCCAGCACTAGATCTCATCGACCGCATGCTCACCGTCGACGTCGAGCAACGCATCACCGTCGACGAGTGTCTGGAGCATCCATGGACTACGCAGGGCAAGATCAATGTTAACGACAGCACCGACGGCCTGACGGGCGCAATTTCAAAACTAGACTTTTCAAAGCGTAAGATACAGCGGGAGCGCACCATGCTGAGCAGCATCAACGATGTCAAGGTAACGCGCGTCATTCAAGGTATCGAAGGGCAGGATCCGGTCAAGGTGTACGAGAAGAATGGGGTAGAGAGCAACGGCAAAAAGGCCAAGGCCAAGCAACATGCAGTTGCAGAGGAACAGCCGGCTGCGCAACGGCACCCCGAAGAGTTTGTGGAAATGGGCGGCAAGGGCGACCAGACTCTGTACTCTGAAGAAGACGACGGGTCTCGCTACCCAACGGACCAGGGCCTTTTGTCTGGCGAGAGCAAGGAGGCCAAGGCGTAGCAATAGTGCTTTCTGATTTGCAGAGTGTTGGGCGTACCTGGGCGTTATGGGCGGGCACAAGCACAAGTGTCGAGACGGGCATGTACAACAGTGGGACTGGCATGGTCCAAGCATAGCGTAATACATACATGGAAATTCTCAAGAGCCTTGTCAGGACAATATGTGGTAAGTAGTCGTGGGTGAAGTGATGTGGATGCAGGCCGGGCCAATGACACGACGCTGGCCTGTCAATGGTGCCATGTTGTCGCTGCCGGCCCGCTACGCTCCAGAAGCTGGTCCCTGCCAAGAAGGCAAGGTCCACTACGTCCACTAACAGACCGCTCTATACGACAGAGGCACTCGGTCGTGCGATTGGACCAACGTGCCCCTGCGCCATCCCCAGTGTCTAGGAAATTTATTGAGGGCGGTCCCCGTCAACATTGACTCTTCACCCACCCTTTGCTTCTCTCGTTGCTCCTTGCTGTGCACAATGGGTGTCTTTGCAACCATTGCCGGCCCGCTCGGCGACTTCACCTCAAACTCGTCCACGCCCGTCGTTGTCGCTGCCGGCTTCGCCTCCTTTATCTTCCTGGCCATTGTCCTCAATGTCCTCAAGCAGTTCCTGTTCAAGAACCCCAATGAGCCGCCTCTCGTCTTCCACTGGGTGCCGATTATCGGCAACACCGTCTGGTATGGCATGGATCCGTATTCCTTCTTCTTCGCCAACTACAAGAAGTATGGCCCAGTCTTCACCTTTATCCTCCTCGGTCGCAAGATGACGGTCTGCCTCGACACTACTGGCAACAACTTTATCCTCAACGGAAAGATCAAGGATGTCAATGCCGAGGAGATCTACTCTCCCCTCACGACTCCCGTGTTCGGCAAGGATGTCGTCTATGACTGTCCCAACTCGAAGCTCATGGAGCAAAAGAAGGTGCGCCACGTCTTGCCCACATTCTCTACGACCTACTTACACCAGACAGTTTGTCAAGTTTGGCCTGACGCAAGAGGCTCTCCGCTCCTACGTAACCCTCATCACGCAAGAATGCGAAGACTTTTTCAAGCGCCACAAGGCTTTCAAGGGACAAAAGGGCACTTTCGATGTTCCCAAGGTCATGGCTGAACTGACCATCTACACCGCCTCTCGATCGCTCCAGGGCGAGGAAATCCGCCGCTCGTTCGACTCCAAGTTTGCCGAACTGTACCACGACCTCGACATGGGCTTCTCCCCTATCAACTTTATGCTTTCCTGGGCTCCGCTCCCCCATAACCGTGCCCGTGATAATGCGCGCGAGACCATGATTCAGCTTTATTCTGAGCTAGTTCGCAAGCGGAGATCCGGCAACGTCAAGAAGGACTCTCACGATATGATCTGGCATCTGATGGATTGCAAGTACAAGGATGGCACACAGGTTCCTGAACACGAGATTGCTGGAATCATGATTGCTCTGCTCATGGCTGGTCAACACTCATCCTCTTCGACCATTTCCTGGATCCTGCTCCGCTTGGCACAGAATCCCGAAATTGTAGATGAGCTTCTTGCAGAGCAAAAGGCAGCCATGGGTGAAGATCTGCCTACTCTGACGTATGAGGATCTCGACAAGCTGCCTCTCCACGCCCAAGTGGTCAAGGAAACCCTTCGTCTCCATGCTCCGATCCACTCCATTATGCGCAAAGTCAAACAGCCTCTTGTCGCTGATGGAACAAACTACGTTATCCCTACTTCTCATCATCTCATGTCTTCGCCTGGCTTCTCTGCTCAACTCGATACTCACTTTGTCAACCCCTCTGTCTGGGACCCACACCGATGGGACGCCGAGCAGGACAGCCAAAACGCGGATGAGGATGACGACGACGAGAAGATTGATTATGGCTGGGGTGTTGTGTCCAAGGGCACCAAATCGCCATATCTCCCTTTCGGCGCCGGAAGGCACCGATGTATTGGCGAGCAGTTTGCCTATCTCCAACTCCAGACTATTCTTGTTGCATTTGTCCGTGAGTTCAAGATTAGGAACATTGGAGGTAGCAAGAATATCATCGGGACTGATTACTCGAGTTTGTTCTCGCGCCCTCTTGCTCCTGCCGTTGTTGAGTGGGAGAGAAGGCATGGACAGTTGTAACTAACTCTTCTTCAACTTGGGGTCTGAGGAAAAAATGGTGAGCTGTGCAGGAATGGGGCGGTGTAATGACATGAATGTCTTGTTTTTCTCCATTTGGCTGTTCGACGAGGTGTGGTAATCGCGGACATGTGCACATTTAGACTTTTCAAAGACATACTGTCTAGATTCTAGTATATCATAATAGCAGTTTAATGAAAGATGAAGAAATTAAAAGAACAACATGTAGTTCATGGTCGAGATTGAGTAGCCGGTGTTGCTTTTCACTGAATGTGGTAGGGAAGACTATGTGTCAGCGAGTCCGGTGGTGTAAAAATGACGTCTGGGCCAGTCGGACAGACGAAACTCCGTAGGTCTCTCTGTAGATACGAGAGATTGTTGGTGTACATCTACATAACAAAAAAGGTCGGCCGTCTTGTTATGTTGACAGGCAATGCGGCACTTCCCCACAACCGCCAAGACCGTGTCTTTGCAACATCATCGGAAAGTTCGCGGTGCACGCTTGACCCACCTCTCAACATCCACACTCGCAACCACCATGCTCACACGGAGTGCACTGTGCCCAGCAAGGGCCTTTGCCAATCGCTTCCCTTCCGCGATACTAACCCCCTCGACATTAGGCGCAACCGCTTCCTTTTCGACATGCACACGACCAAGCCCGCTTCCGCAACAGCACAATCGCCCCGCGACGACAGCGACAGCAACGGCAACGGCAATAACGGCGTCGTGCACCCAATTCCCCCGCAGTAGATGGCCAGCACGATATGCGTCGACGACACCAGCGCAATCCATAGCCAACAATTCCCCAGGTAGCACACAACCCCAACTCACATGGGACGCCTTCTTCGCGCTGCGCCGGACGCGCCGCAGAATTGGCCAGGCCTGTTCTGGCATTGGTGCCGTGGGTGTCACGTACTTTGGGCTCACGACAATGATCAACAATGGCTATGATGCAACGCTCTCGGCGCAGCTCGGCGGCTTCGACCCCTTCATGCTCATGGGCCTGAGCACCTTGGGCATGATGGGCGTGGGGTGGCTCATTGGTCCCATCTTTGGCAACCAAGTGTTCAATCTGGCGTACAGGGGAGTGATTACCGAGTTCACACGGGTATGTCTGTGACAATCTCTGAAGCACAAAAAACAACTGGGATATTACTAATACTCGCTTTACAGAAAGACTCAGCCTTTTTCAACCGCATCAAGCGCCACCGTGTTGATCCCACTGCATCATCGCTGGCCAATCCTCCCCCGGATTACTATGGCGAGAAGATTGGTAGTGTGGCGGGGTACAGGCGGTGGCTGAAGGACCAGCGCGCCTTCAATCTCAAAACGGGCAGGTACAAGGGCGCCAAGACGTTGTAGTGGCATATGCGTTTTGTATTGCACGAGCGCCAGCATGTCCTATAGCAGGGTAGCCGACATAACGTAGGAATCATGATGATAAAAGATGGGGAATGTACATTGAGATCAAGGAGAGCATCTGGGCTCGGCGCAACTCACCAAAAATCATGTATCAATGGATTGGCATGAGAAGTATATGGCGTGACACTTCACTCTCATTTTTCTAGTATACATATTGCAGTATGTTCACTACTGGTCTCTCAGCTCACATGTATTGAATTCTACTGACAGACTCGTAAATCCATGTACTTTTATGCCTTATCGACGTTCAAAACATATCATCATTCCACTGAGCCAAGTTTCAGATTCGTTGCTCTTATATCTCTCGCACTTATTTCTTTCTTCGAAAAGACGAAACATTGGCGTACATACATCTTGAGACCATGCCTCACACCACTTTGCATATTAGAGCCCTCCCGTTGCCAAGTGTCCCTATAGCCATTGCATATGCTATTTTTGTAAAAGAAAAATTAGGCTATCGAAGTCCGCTTTCCTCACCGTTGCCTTTTGTAGCTCGCAACTTATGTCGTTATCAACATGCTCAAAAGCAGGAGACCTTGTTCCTATGTGAGAGAATCTGTTACTCTTTGCCTTGACGAAGGAGCTTTTTTTCTGTCTAATAAATAATGTACAACCATAAAGCGAGCTAGATGTATGTCAGAGTTGATTGTACGCTAGCTTTGGAGGTGAGCAATTTTTGCTCAAGGTAAATACAATGCACTCAACCACAAGACCAAGTGCGCATACAATCTTAGAACATCACGTGCGTAACTCCCATTACGTTATTCTCTGACTCCAGCTTATCATTTAAATATGCATACCTAGCTCAATCATACTGTACTTTGATCCGAAATTGAAACATAATAATCCGTAAATCCAGAGCTGCATTCATTCAGCACGTTATGCGCCATGAGAACGCTGAAGATATAACCCATACACATGGCAACCACTGTACAGGCGTCTCCTCTAAGCTCTATCACCAAGGAACTACTCATGAACACATTCCAAAATATAAAAATCTACAACAGAATTGAGCCACGTGATATCAACTCAACTTGCAAAGAAAGACAAAACAAAAAACATACGACAGCGGGTATTCGCCAGTAGTCACCCACCTGACTACTAATCTGCCGGTAAACTGCTTAAGCATGAAGAACGGATGGGTTTCCCTGATCCAGAATCCTATGATCGTATGTGAATGAAACGATGAATCAATAGAATATATCTCAATCCATGGGGAAGCTAGGGTCAACATATATCGAAAATCAAGACAAGCTGAGGCTCATATCGTCTGCTGTACACAAATGCAGTAAGCGCAACTGTGACTACGAAGCTTGGTCTTGTATACCAGTGAAAGAGGACTCTAGTTCACTTTGTGCCCATCTACAACGCTTTGTGGTTCTGTGACGTTCCGAGAAGGTCTTACTAGCAGATTCCTTCTATCCTAACCACTACTAGTCAAAGTCTAATTTAACGCAAAAAGAATTCACCCTTTGACTACCCATCTTCCACTTGGAATCAAGTCAAAAGAAAGTAATGAAGAGTTACGGTTCGGATACAAGCCCATACCCAAAACAATAACACATAACTTTTCTCACATCTGCAACAAGAAAAAGCAACAAGTCACATACCGTCAGAAACACCATTCCCTTTTCTTCACTTTTCTTTTCTTTCTTCTTCAATTGTACATATATACTAGCTTTGCTTATTCTGCATGCACAAGCGGTTAATCCTTAGTCCTATGCAACTAAGCGACCCAACACCGGCCAGCCAGACTAACACCAGACGCCGTCGGAGCCCATGTCTTAGTAGTTACTTTAAAGTTAAAGTAGCGCAAATCATTAGATAAAACATAGACGCGCTGACAACCCGGAAAGAGGGGAGTGCATGTGGGCTTGCTGCTTTGAGTAAGGTTTGCACGGGGGAGGGGCGCGGAGGGGAGACAAAGAAGAGGAAGGTGAGAGCGGGTCGGAGCGGGGAAGCGGAGAGTTCAAATGCTCCATTACGCGATGGAATGTAGAATTTGGACACGCTTACACGAAAATGAGGTATTTGTGGATATGGACGCAAGACTTGGGACGGGTTCGTGGAGTTAATTGTAACAAGTAAAAAAGTCCTTCGGGAACAAACAAGTCATAGTAGCCAACAGAGTCGAGAAAACAGGGGTATAGACACATCTTAGACATTACCTTTCCTCAAGAAAGGCAATCATTACAGGTTTGGATATCTACGATATACGACATCATAGAGATATTACATAAACGAAAGCAGGCTCACGGTATCGAGCTGTCGGAAGGGTATCAAAGAACTCGGATCAGGCACTCTGCGTTGTGCGCGCGACTGCTTAGAAGATTCGGTGGAGGAAACGCTTCCACGCGGGCCAACTGGCAATCTCGGCACGCTCCTTGTTGATCAAGTCCCAGTCAAGCTCACGACGGCCAGTGTCGACATCCATCTGAGCAGTGCGGAGCCAACCCTCACGCTTCCAGAAGTAACCGGCAACCCAGAAGGCGCCGACGACAAAGATGGCAAGGTAAGCCTCGAAAAATTCGCTCGCGGTACCAGTCTTCTTACCGGCCGGCAGGTTGAGGGGAGAGACAGCAGTGTAGAACTAGTTCCAATGTTAGTATTTGCTTATTTAGAGAGATCCAGGGATCATCTTACCTGAGCCGCCAAAACCATGAAGATGATGCCGAGACCGATCCAAGAGCCGATGACACCACCAGCAGCCCTGAAGGGGATCTCGTCGAGGGTGTGTCCGTGGTATGCCCAGGCCTTGCGGAAACGAATGTGGGCCAAGCAGATGGAGCCCCAGGTGAAGAGAGCAGCAAGACCGGAAAGGGCGACGAACCAGTTGAAGATGGTCACACCGGTAGAAGCCAAGTTCATGTAGGCAAGAGGGCCCCACATCATGACGAACCCGACAGAGTAGAGAGGACGTCCAGCGCGGTCAACGTAGGTGAAGAACTTGGGAGCGTAGCCCTGCTCGGCGAGAGCGGTAAGAGTACGAGATCCACCGTAGACACCAGACACACCGATGGAAATGACGGAGACGAGAATGATGACGTTCATGAAACTGTCGAAACCCACGAGTCCAGCGTTCTTGCCAGCAATGACAAAGGGCGAGGCATTGACATCGGAGGAGCCGCCCATCAGGCGCTCATCTTCGTGCTGTACGAGAAGACCGACAAAGGTGAGACCGAGAATGTAGAAGAGGGTAATACGCCAGAAGACTTGGCGAATAGCACCAGGCAGCGACTTGAGAGGGTTCTTAGTCTCAGCAGCGGCCAGACCGACCAACTCAGTACCGGAGAAGGAGAAGGCAGCGGTGACGAAAACACTGCAAAATCCCTTGAAGCCGTACTTGCTGAACGCGCCGGGGTCGTACCAGGTACGAGCACCCCAGTATTCGCTGTACATGCCGCTGCTAGGGCCGCCACCCAAAACGAGGACGAGGGCAATAATCATGAAGACAATTGTAGCGCCGAGCTTGAGGCATGACGACCAGAACTCTTCTTCGGCATATCCCAGAGTACCAAAGACATTGATGAGGATGATGAAGACCCAGAAGATGGTGATGAAGACGGCGACGCTGGTGCCTTTGGCGCCCTCCCAGTATTGCACAGTAAGACCAGCGACAAGCAATTCGAGCGGCAGAACAATGGCCCATTGGAAGACATAGTTCCAGCCCATGGCGAAACCCCAAGAAGGATCAATGAAGCGAGTCGAGTAGGTGTAAAAACCACCAGAAACCGGGTACATGACAGCGAGTTCACCAAGAGCATAGACTGGAAAGGCCATGTTAGGTTTTTTTGGTTAGGCGCAAGCAGAGCGTACTTACCGACGTTGAAGATCATAACTCCCATGATGGAGAAGTCAATGAAGAGCGAGGCAGGACCCTAGAGAGAGATTGTGTGAGCGACGATCAGAGAGAGATTTGGTGGTGAGCAACTTACACCTCTGCTGAGAGCACCACCCGAACCGACGAAGAAACCAGCACCAATGGAACCACCAATGGCAATCATGTGGAGATGGCGAGTCTTCATAGACTTGTCGAGCTCAATTACGGAGCCGACTTGGGGACGGCGCTGGAAGGACTTGAGGTTGAGACCATTACGGGTCATGAAGTCCTCCTGGTCACGCCATTCGGTCTGGCCATCCTCATGCGCCGACTCAACGGTAGGCTGAGGGACGCTCGCCTTCTCATCCGAGGGCAGGGCCTTTTCGTGATCCATGATGGGTGAAGGTGGGACAACTCTAATCGAGAAGTCAAGTTGGTTGAAGGAAAGACGAGATGAAGGGCTCGAGCAGACCCTGGGAGCGACGCTCTTTTAATATGCAAGTGCTGGATCAGCGGGAAGGGGGGAAGGGAGCAGTAGACATTTATCCCGTCCTTGTGAGTGATGGGCTCTCGGAACAAACGACCAGGACCCTCGTCTGGTGGACACAGGCTCGCCGTGCACGAGCCGACAGCTTGGCAGCCCTCCATGACAGTGGCAGGCAAGGCATCCTACTGATAGGCTGGCGCGGCACATGGTTGGCTGGGCTCACACGAGCAGAAGAGGCGTTCGGCGTAGCGGGCAGGGCTAGCAGGGACAGTGTGTTGGCACCCCGCGGCGGTTCTTGGGATTAGCTTGGGACCTCCCCACAAGAGCAAAGCGGCCGGTGGCGTCTAGGCTTCGGAGGGGGCCATTTGGTCAGACGCGGTTGCTGGGCGGAGATTGGGCCCAAAGCGGACTGATAACGAGGCCGAGTGAATGCATGCAGCAGTCTTCTAGCACGCTTTCTAGAATGCTGATTGCATTGCTGGGACGGCGGGCCTGGCCCAGGCTGGCCGCGCTTTGCATCGGACCCGACGCCGCATTCCTTGACAGCTGCCTGTCCCGGGCGAGGGGCGAGAGAGGCGCAAGGCGGGTGTGTTTGTTATCTGCAGGCTGCGCTTATGCGTAGGTGTATTGTAGCCAACACTAACGACAATGGCCAGCGCTCGTATAGGCCGTCGAGGTCGTCTGGAGAAGCGTCTCACGTGGCTCCACCTCCATGTGCACCTGCCCCTCCTAGACTAGCGCCTTGGCACTCCGCTGTCTCCGCCCTCGGTTAGCCCGAGATGCTCACCTCTCCGGCTGTCAACGCCTGTATCGGTGGCGCTGCGAAGCGCCCTCGCTCGACACCTGCCAATCCATTCATCCATCACGCTGCTGCTGGTTACGTTATTACGGCGCGGGGTGGCACGGCATCCATCTCCTCTCGACCATGTGCACACCTTGCGTTACATACACGACCCGCCCCTTTCGCTCGTTTCAGTTGCCTCAATACCAGCCGCCCCTCCTCTCCTCTCCCGCACCACCAACCGGGTTGCTGACGCCGTTATCACTGCGTGGGGAACAAACACATTCCCAGTCTCTGCTTAAAGAGGCCCGCCGCCGCACTCATGTCTTGGAACTCTGGATGCTAAATGAATCGTCCCACCCTATCCTGATTCACTGTGCTGATGATACCCAACCTCCGTTGCACCACCAATCACGTCTTTTTCCCTCACCCACTTCCCCAACCGTTCTAGCCCATGCCCTCCGTCAAAGATGCTGCATGTCTTGGTCTTCTTGGTGTCTTGGTGTCTTGGGATCCTCCCAGTCCCGCCAAACCACAATCAGCACTGCATTCCTACTACCAGGAATCCGGCCGCCTGGCCACCGTATAGACGCGCAGCTGCACTCCAGGGTCCACCGATTTCCGTTATCACACCGTGTCAAATTGGAATTGCAAACGCTCGCTTGTCGCCCTCTAGCGTTGCTCCACTGATAACCAGCTGTCTGAGCGTCGCATCTTGGGGTGCCTCGATCCGCGTCAAGGGCCCACACCGTCCACTTTTCTCCAGCATCCGTCAACCTCATATCTCGTCATGCTCTCCCGCCAGTGACGCTGCTCACACAGCATTCGCCAGTCAATGTTGGGAATGCAGGCTATCAGAGCAGCTCAAGCTTTTAGCACGCTTAGCACGCCCAATCCATTACCACTGCAATACCACAATTCCTACGCTTGGCGCATCCACCTATATTCTGCCCGCATAAACCTACCGTTGCATAAACCACCGTAGAGCCGCCGGTTGCACCGAGGACATGGCTCCTTACCCTCTCTGTGCCGAGAGTACCGCCTTGACATTATCCGCCACAATACGAACTCACAAACAATGATCAACTTGTTTGCGCGACACCAATTTAAACACCACTGTTGCGCAATCTACCAGCTGACGCCAGACAGATGATTGGTTCTGCAGGCTACCCTTCGACGTCACTAACTTCGGCAGGCTCCCTCTCGCCAATCACAGTAAGATTACACTTATAATCTTTTTTTCTCCAATGCCGGGCACATCTACTCTTGCCACGATGCGCCACCTTGTCAATGATCATGTCAGCGGCTTTCTTTGGTATTACGCCACCATGTAAGGCTGTGGTTGGCACCGCACTAATCCACACCCCGCACGTCAGTGCATAGTACAGAGTACAACCACAAAAATATTCAGGCTATGTATATGAATATTCCAAGCACCCACTTGATTTACATACATACATGTGCGGGATTCTAGAAAAATTCCCGCTGCAGTCCGCCAGGGAAGTACCTGGCGGCGGCATTTGTTGTTCCTCTTGAGTAAGCTCATGCATACCGCGGCCGAACCCGGAGTCGACATCGGGCCATTCAATGACTAGCCATGCAGCTGCGGAGGCATCAACAGTTTACGAAGCTTGAGTAGCTTGAGAAACCTTTTTGCCAGGATATCTCTTCTTTTGATTTTCCCGCTTTTCTTATCTTCTTCGTCCTATCACCAAACAAGCTTATGCCTAGTAGGCCTTTGATCTTCCAGCTAGCAATACTCCCGTCACACCGCTTGCGCGGTTCATTCTCTCGCGCCAGCCGCTCCAGCATTTCTGTTTCCTGCTGTTTTTTTTAAGAACAAGAACTGGTAGAATTCCAGTCTCATCACTTCCCGCATCCGAGCTACACTAACCACGCTGCTTTTTCTTTCTGCTGCGTCTGCAACAACGCCGTACAACGATGTATTTCCCTAGTCACCTGGACAAGGCGGTGGTATGCGGAGAAACAAAAAGCGCGGCGATGGCAGAGGAGATGCCGGCAACACGAAGGTTTGTCGCGTAGTAGATGATGTTGGTGACAGTGCTTGATTAAAAACTGAAAGCGGAGATGTTGGGATCAAAGGCGATGGTTTACGGGAGATACCATACGCCTTGATGTTGGGCACAAGAAATGGGTTTATTGGCAACTGTGGCCATGCGACATCCATATTTGTAAGTGGAGACGGCGTATCTGGATCACAGTAAGAGAGGTTAGGAGTTCGCGCATTGACATGACTGGCTGCTGGTTGGTGCGTCGCACTTTCTGGTGTGCGAAGACAAAATGGCGCGCTACATACCTGTCATGGTGGAAGTAGGTATGTTTATTGAAGCCGGTCGCGGTCGAATCGAAGCCATTTCGCTGTTTTCAAGTCTCAAAGGGATTTTATCTCTGGCAATGTAATTGATCTATTGATATACAGTCATTACACAAAAATACTCACCCCCCACCAAAGACAACGCTACACAGAGTGTTCAAGATATGATGCATCCGAGCGTGCATGCATAGCATACCCTAGGACTCAGACCACAAGGAATCCCCGACTTCATTGCACGGGTATCTACCCATCTACCCCACACCCAAGACACGGGTTGAGACATTCGCATTCGCACAGTCAACCGATTTAACCCCCTTCCCTCGGAAATACGCAAACCATGTGTTCTTTGTTTGTGAGTGGTAATGAAGGATCATGTTTTTGTTTGCACAAAAGAAGATGCATTCCTATCCCACTATTGCTCATGTAACCATACATTGGCACCACCTTGATCCATACCCAACCTCTCGGTTCTTGTGCATTTTATCCTTCATCTATACATTAAAGGGGAACTCTTGTAGTGTATCTGTCATCGTTATCTTGGTCAACAGATACCACGCCACATTTCTGTGGTGCGCTAAGGAGCGCGTTACATTCCGGCCAAATTCTGCCGTGTTGATTACGCCTCATGCTTACAAGTTATCTAGGCAAATTTTAGCCGCTCACACGTTCAGTCGTGCATGCAAAGAAGCCTAGTCTTACAATATGAGGTGTATGTTTCCATGCTGATCGCTCATACATAACAACAAATTATTATTACAACTTGGTTGTCAACAACTTGCAATCTTGCACACATGGGATTGTGTTAATCCAGGGCTACATCGATCTGCATGTATTTTTAGCCGCCTGCCTAACTACAATGAGGTCCTGTGCAAGTGAAGCCGCCCCCAAACTTGCCAATAACTATATACTCAAGGCATCCTGCAGGCAGAGGTTTGTTTCGAATGTTCAATCTGCATAATAGGTCTAGTGCATCGAAGCAGAGGCCTTGATTTTGTGGACGCCAAATGTTTACGATTGTACACTAACATCTTTCACCCTCACGGTCTTGGCTAGGCGTACCACAGACGACCAAATCTCAAGAACTCACCTTGATTGATAGGCCGGTTGCCTAAACCGCCAGGTACAGCGCCCTGCTTCATCCTACTCTACTGGAATATCAAGCATGGTTCCAACCAACATAGCTAACATATTTTCGGGGTTTTAGATGAATCATCTCGGGGTCCATGTTGATGGAAATTCGTCCGGGTCATGTATATAAAGCAGCTGTGTATCGCGCGATTGAGTGTCCAAATCACCATCCTTTGACATCTCGAACGCTTTGGTAGCATATCCCACAACCAAGGCGTCGTTTTGCGGCAAACTCTCATCATGAAGATCGCAAGCGTCTCCCTCTTTGCCGCAGGAATTGCGTCTACGGGTGTGGTCGCAGCCCCTGCTCCTATGGAAATGCCTAGTACCTCTCCAAATCTTGCCAAACGAGGTCTTTGGTTTAGAGATGAGTGGTTCCCTGAGAGTGGTGGCAACACAATTGGTGGGAGTACGCTTTGGATGCTGCGCAACACTTGGAACAATCGCTTTGGTGGGGACTTTGGCGGCAGCCTTGGGGTACGTTTGCCGCTATATCCATGGAAAGTTGATCTAACACGCCCCGTTAGGTATATGATTACAAAGGCGTGTGTTTCTGGGGACAGTGTCTATTCGTGTCGTCCGAGGGGCAGGGTAGAAGGTGGTCTGGCGATGCGTGGGGCAACGCTCTGTCAAGGCTTCAGGGCGTGGTTGGAGACAGTAAACAGGGTCTCTGTGGGGCCCGGATTAACAATGATGCCTATCTAGTCTTAATAGCTGTGCAGCACAACGCAGTATCGATAAGAGGTCAAACTATTAGCCGGATGTTTAGAGACACTTGTGGAGGTAACCCTCCTTGGTAGATACCGGGTTCTGTGGTTGATATCTGGATTTAATGGACCAGGATAGTGCCATGGTACTAGTGGCGAGGTACATGCTAATTGATGGACAAGAGCTAGGTTTAGGAGTTATATCTGATTTTTTTTTCTACAATTCTTTTGCTCTGTTTGTGCTTTATCTTTCAGACTGTAGGAGACCACACGTGCCACAACTCCTCAGAAGCACTAGATCAAGATAGACTACGGTCAGTCACATGAGCCTCTTTAGAATTGTGTTGGTTTCGTCCTGGCTAAGTCAAGTTGCTTACAAACCAGCTTATGACAAGTCCTTCTACATAGACCAGTGGCATAGCCTGAATGTAAATCAAAAACATAGCTTAGGTATCGGACAGCACCAAGTTTCAAGATGTTTTTCATCAGAGCAACTTCACACTCACATATAACAAAGCTTAACAACACTGCATCCTTTTACCGATGGTCGAGAACTAGTGAGAATTTAGTAATGCCTTACCATTACTCCTCTTATAGGCATCCACTCTCTCTGTGTTAGAACGCTAATAGACGATTTCTCAAGAAAGAACATTTGATTTTTAACTTTATGTGTTTTGAAGAGCCTTTCCTCCCGTTTCGCACAAGCTCAACCAGAGCACCTATAATACGTCACAGAATCGTAACTAGTAATCACTACCGTACTACTGCTTTAATCCCCCAGACCACTTCCTTAGTGGTGTTCCACCAGTCCCGGACCGCTCACGAACCTGATACTTCTTGAGCTCCAAGACCAATCTATTGTTCTCCTCGTTAAGCTTGTAGTTCTTTTCCCACTCAGCCGCCAGTTCCTCCCTCACCTTCTTCAGTCGCGCCTCATCCACCATCTTGACGGGTTCGCGTTTCAGCACAGGCGCATCATCCGTCTCCTCCAACATATCTCGTAGCCTAAGAGTCACAAAGTCGATCGTTACGCATGATTTGAGCACGGTGTCGATTCCTGCTTCGAGCTCGTCGAGGGGGGCTTGGAATTTGCGCGGAAGACCTCTGGAGGGGTCGAGGTTGGTTAGCCGGTGACGCAGGTCTTTTGCGACGCCTTGCACTTCTTGGTATTCTTTCTCGGGGTTGTTCGAGCCATTGATGCACTTGTATGTTGTGGAGAGGAGACCATATGTGGTGCGGCAACGTAGGTAGTCCTTCCGCTTTATCGATGCTGAAGGGAGGAATGTCTCCATGTCTGAAATGAGGGAGCATGGTTAGTGTTTGTGGTACTTCAGATTGTCAAAAATAAGATGCTTACCTGCGATGATCCTGCTAATCTGTTCGTGTCCACAATAATCTTCAGAAGTCATGGTAACGTTCGGGTTGTGCTCGGATTGCATATGGCTGGAGTGGGTTCTTAACATAGAAAATTTACTGAGATATTGATCTAATTTGAAAGGTTACGTGAAATCTCCAATTGTTTGGTCGCTTCTGGAATGTGCAAACGGAGAAGTGGGGAGATCCTCACAAGAATGAATACAAACACTGCTGGGATTTACACATCCTGGCATTTCTTGACGATACGTAAGCCCTCTTTGTATTTCAGTGTGTATAAGCTAAATCTAATTCTCTCAGTGTCTCAACTGTTTATACTGTCACAGCTCTATCGTGACTCAAGCCTCTACCAACTGGATACTGTGGAACTATCACGGTCTATTCGTGTCAGAGCGCAGTTAACAGCACTGCTACCTATCGCTCAAGTATCATTTGTCTTCTAGATATTAGCTACTGATACTCTTCTTCCAGACGCAAAGGAACCACGAGTACTTACAGTACTGACAACAGGACAAGAACTACTGATTGAAACCGCAAGGAACTTGAATCACCCAGCCAGTTCTAATGCTGTCTTTGTTCTTGATCAAATGTGAGTTCTTGGCCGCCAATGTGTTTGCTGTGGTGCAAAAGTCGCCAGCAATGGAATTCAAAGTGTCGCCTGAGACAATGACATAGGCGCCATCACGATTTGGGCTGTTTCTGCGGCAGTCGCGTCGACGGGAGCGGCAAGGAAGCCTCAGGTTGATACCTGAGGGAAGACGGGCATTGAAATCGTCGTGCCTGCCACTCCACTGTGCAACGACATTAGGGCTGACGCAGAAGTCTGCCGCAACGGTGTTGAGTGTGTCCCCGCTGGCGGTGTAGTACCACCCTTCACCCCAGTTTTGGGGGTTGTACCTGCAACTGCGGCGCAAAGCATCCGTCATGCCCAAGAGGGAAGTAAGGACGAACACAACGTCGATACGCATTATGATTACGCAAGGGTATTAGAGTAAGGAGTAAAATATTAAGAAGCTGCTAGTATGTTTCAAAGAGAATGAAAGAGTTGCTTTGAATGAAGACTCTGAGAAAAGGAAAAAGGGTGGCCTTAAGTAATTGTCGGACGAAATGACTATAGTGATATGCTACACTGTTAGTAGGGTTGCCCCTGCCCTCGAAGCTATTCCGTAAATGTATCGAAACTACATCGTACAGCGGAAAACCAGCATCTTGGGTCAGCAACATAATGAAGATGATCCGAAAATGGTCATGGGCCAAGACCACTATGCTCCATCCTGGTAAGCGCTAGAAAGAACATAGGCAATGAGCGAGAAGTGAAGCAAGAAATATTTATCTCGAAAACAACAGCTCTGTTGTCTCATTTGTAGCCTCTTGGAAGATAAATGGAGAATATTATTGTACGCCTGGTCTCTTATGCAAAGCGGTTTTAGGTAGGAGACAAGATTCAAGAGTAAGAAGTTTTTAGGAATCGTAAAATACGCTAGTCTCATAAGCACTAATAACTAGGAATAAGATTGCGAAATTCATATCGACCTAGTTTGTATATAATCTGAACAAGACCGTTGGAAGTCGTGTGATGTCTTCACAATAGCATCCTGCTTACTAGTCGTAGCAATATTCTGTTAGCAGCCCCACCTGGAAGCAGAATCCAAGAGAAGAGTAGCCCCAGTCAATACTCCTATTTCCTCCTTTATCTCAAGGGAGCGCCCCTGAACGAGATTTTCTTCGTCTTCCGTGGACCTTTTCCTTTTTCTCAGCCTCTGCAATCGCAATATGCTGTGATTGGGCAAAAGGAAAATTCATTGCGCGCTACGCTGCTCAAAGGGCTGACTACTTACAGGAACTAGTCTGAACCAGATTTTCACAACTCGGCGTACAATAGACGAATATGTAGTAGTTAGTCAGACTCCTTACTAAGACCGGCCTTGGCCCTTTTCTCCTCAGCAAATTCTGCAAAGAGTAGTAATTATAATCTACGGACACACAATTTAGCGTCGTTCAAACTAACGCAGGATAGAACGGTACGTCTCTTACGATGGATTGAACATGTCGGACAAGCTTTATTCAATGCGTCTCAGACGCAAAACGGGAAGAAAAAAAGTTTGGATATATTGCTTGCGTTTCTTCAAAAGAACAAAACCACTAGTGACCGAGATAAAGCACGCACGGCAAGAGCATTTAGAGCCTGGTCGTAGAAAAGCTCAAGGGTATGGGTGAGGGTAAGCTCTTACGCGGTGATTTGCCCGATTACACCAACCCTTGCAGAAAATGGTATCATATTGCGTTTCAGATAAATGCGGCCACCCGTCGCGTTGATCAATCCGAATAATCATTATCATGAGACACTGGATTTGCCTTTTGAGCACATGCAATGGTAAGAATCATCTTGGTCTTGTAGTGGTCGCACTCATCGCGTAGTTCTTTGTGCACCCAGAACCATTCGTCTCCTTGGTCGAGGTGCATAAACCTGCCGTATAGGGTTTGGTAAAAATGCCGACCCAAGAATGCCATCATCTTGGTATTATCGAGCATATCTTGTGGTGTTGGCGCACCGGCATTGGTGAGTGGCGGGGCTGGTGCGGATCTGGGCATTCCTTTGGGCGGCTGAGCGGGAAGTGCTATGCGTGCACGGCGGATGTTTTCTAAGCCTACTATCTCCATGGTGTCGAGAACTGTGTCGGAAGCCTGTTTGCTGATGTCAAAAGACTCAAGTCGGGCGGACAGATTCTCGTCGACCCACGAGGCCATTTTGGGTCCTTCACAACTCATGTGCGCATCGACTGAAAGTATTTCAATCTGGCCTCCTGGCTTAAGCACACGCATGCAGTCGAAGAACATGCGAGCCCACTCGTCATTTCGGAGAGCTGTGGTAACCGAGCGCGAGATTATGGCGTCGAAGTAGTTGTCCGGGAATGGCGATTGTGATGCAAGAGACGGAACATAAAGTGAGTGGTGATTCATAGGAGCCGGATAAGCGGCGGGAGGAGAAGCCTGTGTAGAAGAGAGGGTATACACAGTTGCGGCAGGATAGCGATTTGCAAGCATCCAGCCATCAGCTACATATAGGTCAGTACCAACTCGGCAGATGGCGTGTTTTGATCAGGGACGTACCTATGGAGCCGTGGATCTGGAGTACTCTTCTCTGCTCCGCAGGGCGAGCGTTGATGAGCAGTTCATGTACGGGTGACTGCAAGGATTTATTTTGCGTTAGACGCCGGTACGCTGTCAAGGCCCAAAGCCGCTTTTCAAACATGATTTCTTGAAAACTTTCGTCGTCATCAAGGCCTTCCCATTCTTCGCTCAGACGTGCGGACGTTATACGTGCGCTAGCACTTTCGATTTTTGCCAAAGCGCGAGCGAAGGGTGACGATGCAGCCTTGCTACTATGGTCACGTTCATTGCTTTTCACACTTCCAGTCCGTGAGCCACGTTCAACCGCTTCAAAAACAGGACCTTGATGGAGGTGACTTGATCCAGCGTACGAAGCACTCTCGGATATGACTTCAGAGGCAACTGTTTCATAACCAGAGGCGCTAGAGGAGAAGATACTAGTCTTTGATGTTGCGACACTAGCTGGCATGTATGAAGTGCGTTGGCTCGAAGAGATTTGGGATCTTGCGTCTGCATATCGTGTCAGCATGTTCAACCAACATAGGTCTAATAGACTTGAGCACAGAGACAGCCATCACGTACCTGCTGGGCTGCCAATACCATGCATCCCTGAACCCGGCGTCGGGGGAAGTTCACTAGTAGGTGGAGGATAAGGCATGGGAATCAGCGAATTCTTTCGTGGCGATAGAGGTTGAACGTGCTTATCAGCAAGCAATGAGGGCGGGCTTGGAAAGAGATATCTGTCCGAATCCAAGGGCACATCCAGAGGCGCAGTTGGGGGAGCTGGCGCCAGTGTAGGGTCTGTCTCGAGCGTAGGGTCGACTGCGTCGGTCACGGGAGGTGGTATGTCGATAGTTTGCGCGCCAGTTGGTGACAAGGGCGAAATTTCCTGAATGCCTTTTTTGTTGTTTCTGGAAAACCAGCCGCCGAAACCGGTCTTTTCTTTTGACTTGTGCGTGGATGCATTTTGACTTCTGCTGCTTGTCGTGGGGATGCTATGCACGCTTGCAGACGACTGTGAATTGGACGAGCTGGAGCGGCGAGCAGCCTCTTCTTCCTCTTTTGCTTTTCGAGCTTTGCGAGCTCCCACGGTCTCTGCATGGCCAGGAGGTACGTCGAAGCCTGGGAACATGTCGGTTGTTGGTTCGAACATTGCTGGGTAGGGCGGTGGGGGGGGATCATCGATCGATGTACTACACATTTGAGCTACTTGGCAGCCAGCTTGGAAACCACCACCATGCCCCTAAACCAGTGTCGAGCCGCCTGACAACGACGTACATCCTGACCAGCCAGCCGTGCTAGCGTGCAAGGAAGCTGAATAAGAGCTGTGCGTCGGAGCGGCCGTAAGTGGTGGCTTCGCCTGGAACGGCAAATTATGTATATAGTGGCGCCGACGAAGTACCGACAAGCGCCGACGGGCAGCTAGTAGTGTGTAGGAAGTACAGTATTCCTGTTCTGCGTACCGCTTCAAAAGGCCATTAGTAGCTGGGCATTGTCTTGAACAGTTGCAGCTTGTCTGGTACAGGACCAGAGCAGCGCACACGCTTACATGGCCGAGGAGAGCCGCTGGGCACTGTGTGTGCCAATTCCGCGGCCGTTCTCTATACATAGACAAGTACCCAAGTATATACAGTGCAGACGGCAGTGTGAGGCATCTGCGCGTAGGCATATACTACAAAGCGCAGTAAATATGTAGCCGATAGATCTCGATGGAGCGTTACGGGGCGTCGGGAGGCCAAACAGCATGTATTTTTGCCCAAGTAGTCAGATACGTGCGTAGGTATCACCATACTTAGTATGGCGTAAGTATATGTCAACGGGTACAGGCATCATGAGACAAGAGTCCCTCCAGGTTCAGGCGGGCATGCGTGTGACAAGTTCTCTGCCTGCCACGGCCCTTTTAACTTTTGCCAAGTTAAACGATCGTCAACTAGTACGTCAGTAGAGCCTTAGCAAAGCCCCAAGTCAGGCCAGTTAAGCATTTCTGCCAATCAGCGAAGCTTCTATGATCTCTCCCCTTCCTCTCGCCTTGCTCTCGCCCGCTTGCGTTGGGCACCGCCTCCGGCCCTTGCGCCCATTGCTTCCTGTCACTGCTCTCTCGGCGACGAAAATTGGCTATCTTAGGTAAAAAGCTTCGCTGAAAATCCACCTATGGCCTTCACCGTCGCCTCGCTCTCATTTCTAGATACGATTTAGAGATTATGCCCGCCAAGGTCACGACAGACACTTGACTATCGGCAGTCCATCTTGTCACGCCACATTGCCATTCATTGCACAAGACTCAACCAGGTCTATATTTCCTCATCAATTGCTCGCCCTCGCCCGCTGCTGCAAAAAGGACCACGTTTTGTGCATGCTTATGGTCTGACGCCTGGTCTATTCCCACCGGCCTGCCAATGACGCTTCGCGGTTGCAATTCCCCGACGACAGCGGGAAGCGAACACGGCTGCGACATAGGACAGCCGTCACCCTCTACACTACACTACTACTAGGTAGCCTTTCAACCCTAGAGCAACTAGCCCCCAGCTCGCTTGCCATGTTTGCGTTCTGTTCAGTTCTAGCCCATGCCCGTTGTAGACCTGAGTCAATTCACCATGCGAGCGCCATCGCCACATGCATGACACGAACACGGCTCCGGCCTTTTGGTCCCTGCACCGGCCATGGCCCCCTCCCCTCCAGGTTTCACCTAGTATTACATGTCTATGGCACGCACGGTGGCCGCTATATCTTACCAGGAATCGCAGCAGTCTTTTGATCCCCAGCCGTCCCGACTCCCGCATCACTCTGCTGCACTAACCCTGCTGCTTCTCCGCGAAAATGGGTTTTATGGCACGAAAGACTGCTGCCCTCAACGACTGGGTTGCTCGCTCAATCGTGGGCAGATTCTTTCACCTTGACGGTTCCGGACATGTATGTCAATTTACCCATGCCCGGCTGTGCGCCATTGTACTAACACTCCTAGCCTAACGCGAGAAAAAATGCTCGATTCACCACCGAGATCTTGGCTGGGCTGATAACCTTCCTTACAATGGCCTACATCATTGATGTTAATGTGAGTATATTGAGCAATAGCCAGAAGACGTCACCCGCTGACGCAACCGCCTCACCAGGCCTCCATTCTCGCAGACTCTGGAGTAACATGTGTGTGTAACGATCCAGTCGATCCGAAATGCAACGTCAACGATCAATATGCCATTTGTATACTCGAGGCCGAACGAGACCTCATCACCGCCACCTCTGCCATCTCAGCACTTGCTTCTTTCCTTATGGGCATCACGGCTAACCTTCCGGTTGGAATGGCGCCAGCCATGGGTCTCAATGCTTATCTCGCATACCAAGTCGTCGGTTTCCACGGAACTGGTCCCATTACTTATCGTGTAGCCATGACATCCGTCTTTGTTGAAGGCATCATCTTCACCGGTCTCTCCTTGCTCGGAATTCGCCAGTGGCTCAACCGCATCATTCCCGCGTCCATCAAGATGGCATGTGGTGGTGGTATCGGCCTTTTCCTTGCTCTGCTCGGTCTTTCATATACTCAAGGAGTTGGCGCTGTCACAGGAGGAGATTTCTTGCCCCTTGAGCTGGCCGGCTGTCCTGAAAATCGGTTGGATCCAGTCACAGGCTTATGTACCTCGGATAGGGCGAGCAGTCCTACCATGTGGCTCGGCTTTCTTGCTGGCGGCGTGCTCACTGCTATCTTGATAACACACAGAGTTCGAGGCGCCATGATTATCGGCATCTTGGTGGTATCCATCACCTCTTGGCCCCGCGATACATCGCTCACCTACTTTCCCCGAACAGCTGAAGGAAATAGCCGCTTTGATTACTTCAAGAACGTAGTCGAGGTTCCTTCCATCCGAAAAACCTTGGTTATCCAGGACTGGAACTTGTCGAATGAGGGTTGGCATTTTGCCCTGGCCGTCTTCACTATGCTTTACGTCGATATTCTCAATGCGACTGGTAGTTTATACTCTATGGCTCGTTTCGCCGGCATCGTGGACCCCGACACGGGTGATTTTCCGCGCAGCGCCCTTGCGTACACTACTGATTCCGTCTGCATTGTGCTTGGCTCTCTCGTTGGAGTATCTCCCGTCACTGTATTTGTCGAGTCTGGCGTAAGTAACAAGTTTCCTTACTACCAATTCGTGCCATGCTAACGTGATTAGACTGGTATTGCAGAAGGTGGCCGCACAGGCCTGGCAGCGTGTATGACGGCATTTTGCTTCGTCATCTCTCTATTCTTTGGCCCAATTTTTGCTTCAATCCCCCCGTGGGCCACTGGTGGCACTTTGATCATCGTCGGATGCATGATGATGCGCGGTGTGACGAACATCAACTGGAAATACGTAAGTCGCATATCACGTTACTACTGCATATCTGATGACTAACACTACCAGCCTGGTGACTGCATTCCTGCCTTTGTAACACTCATTTTCATGCCTTTCTCGTTCTCACTTGCCTACGGTCTCGTCGCGGGCATCATCACCTATGCTGGCATCAACTCTGCCACCTGGTTTCTTGGAGCAATTTCCGGCGGACGTTTCCTTCCTCCCGACTATGACGATAAGGAGTATTGGAGTTGTAAGTGCCACTCACTGCTACGATATAGTTGTTCTATGCTTACACGATTTGAACAGTGGCTACGGATTATCACTCTCAACCTTGGGTGTAAGTGTTTGCATTCTAGATGTGCCGTAATCAATCGCTTACTAACACAACCATTTTTAGTGTGCGCGCAATCAAGGGAGACCGACATTTCTGGAAAGCTGAAGAGCATGACTCGTTTGAACTGTCCTCTACCGAAGTGCGCTTCGAGACGACCGTAACAGGCGGCAGTAAAGTTTAAATTTCGATCGTTGCCTTCTAGCTTTGTACTTACTTCGTAGTAATGAAAATCTATCCCTAGCAAACTTAGCTTAGTACCCGTTGCTTACTGTCAGACAAGATGTCGTCAGCCTAAGCGTAACCTTATTTTTTTTAAAAAAAATCATAGAAGCGTCACGCTCTGATTGGATGTTGCACTAGCCATTAAAGGTACCCATGCATACGATTCCACACGTTCATCGTAGATGATCTACCATCCCCTACTCGACTGGCTAGCCACGTACTAAGAAGAGCCGACAGTGCGGGTGACACATGACATGTAACAAGACTAGTAGTACCTTAGATATAAATCTAGCTGCATAAAAAACCCGGTTGTATGGATACGGTATTGCCATGCAAGGTGGGGGGTTGGACATGGTTAGTTTTGTGGAGGTACAGTGTGGAGAAGTGTTGTTGTACGCCAACGTCACGTGATGGGCATCCTTTTTATTTTCCTCCAATTATGGAATGTAGAACTGGTATTCGATTCCGCAAATGAGGCAGAATGCCATTGGTTCATAGTAAAGTTTTTCACTTTTCTTTTGTCTTCTTTTCTTCCTTTGAAAAAAAATCTTCGTTTTATTACTTAAGATTCACATTTCACTTCAACATGAGTGCTTGATACCATGACTATTCGTAAAACACCAAACATCTAACCTCGATGCTCTGTCGTCCCGGTGCATCTGCAGGCGTATTGGGGTCTGCAAAAGCTGTATGCGGCGTTCGTAATGAGAGCCCCTTCTTTCCTGAGAGCATGCCTTCGCCGAAGCTGTCAAAGCACTTGAGCAGCATCACCTCGTCAGGCGTCATGTCCTTTTGGTAGTAAAACTTGTGCTTGTCATTTGGCGCTACTGCTAGGGTTTCGCCCCTAGCCTCGTAGCCTTCGGTAGATGTGTAGTTGTTGGGGTCGGGCAATTTCTCCTTGCCGCGGTCGTCCAAGTCCAATAAGTCTGCGCGCTTGGGGTACAGGAGGTCGGTGGCGACGAAATCAGAGGGCGAGGTTGTGCGCCAGTCGATCACAGCGAGTGGGTGATCGGAAGCAGCATGGCCAATGGGTCGCCAAACGTTAATGATTTGGTAGCGGCCTTTGAGGAGCTCTTCCGCTTCTTCCGCTGGCAAATGCCGGCGGACACGCGCTTCTGCCGCAGCAGGTGTCTGGTCGACATGAACCTGCTGGACTGGTTGGCGAGGAGAGTTTTTGTCTCGTCTTCGGATGGTGTGGTCGAATATGACGACTTTCTTGATTCCAGGAAGCTTTTCTCGCAGCAAAGATTCGACTTCGCTGTAATATCCATCTCGGACAGCAGCGTCATCGGTGAAGAGTTTCTCTTTGGCGGGGTATTGATAGACTGCAAACCCAGAGTTGTCGGTGTTAAACTCATGTTCACGGCCACGAAGGTTGTGCACTGAGCGCTCATGCCATTGTTGACTGAAGTTTGTGCCTGGCCCGTCTACCTTGCCCCAAGGCTTGCCCGTATAAGAGTTTGTGTCAATGTGAGAAAATCTGGCCGTTGTCATGTTGGGCGTATGAAGGTTTGGTGATTTGTGAGAAGACGAACGTGTGAATGTAGACTTTATGTGTGGCCTACTATTGCCGTTGCTTAGAAATGAAACATGACGCCATCTCCAACTTTGGCCGATGTACTTGAGAAGTGACCAATCAGGTCCCCGTAAAACGTGGGCCACGGGTTGCATGTTTGCCCAGGAGAAATGCTTCGTGGCGAGATTACAAAGCTGTTTGACAAAGTTGTGATTTTCACATGGGGAGACTTTAGATGGATATACATATTTCCTGGCTTGGAACCCATCTTGACGATTGTGCAAGTTATGTAGTAAGATGAGTTGCAAAATTTCAAGGGTCTCACGGGCAAGAAATGGGCAGGTGGGGCATGATTATCGCGGCTTGAGCACCTGTTCACTTTGATTAATTTTGTCAATGATACAACCTGCAGTAGTCTACCACTCTCGTTTTTCACATTGCTTCTTTGCTATTACATATTTGTAGCCGAACGCTACTTTATCTTTTGGGTGGTGGAGCCATTTATGCCAGCAATGGCTGTGTCATGAGAGCATCAGGCATCAGGCAGTCGGAACCCGGTTATCTCCGATTGGTTGGCGCATGCGTCCCCGCAACTCAGCGGCACACTATGCCGTCACTGCTAGACAACTACACCTCTCATCCTGAAAGATGCCGCGAAATTATGACAGCGACAATGACGAGCCGCTTGAGGACAATACGGCTGTGCTCGCACTCAAGAACAAGAAGACAGAGCGCCTGAAGCGTAAGAATGTAGCGCGACAGCAGAAGCGTGACGCCATTGTCAATCTCTCAAAGTTGCCGACCGAACTACTGCTAGAATGTCTCAAACACCTTTGCCCGCGCGATGTCTTCAACGTCAGCTTTGTCAACCGGCGACTGTACGAGCTGGTTGAGGTGAATGCGCATGTCATTGGCGATGCCATCATAGCGCGCCGCTACAGCATCCTTGTGGAATGCTTTCCCACACCCAAGCTCCTCAGCGACGTCGATCCAACTGTGCAGGCTCTTCTCACCGACCCCGGGCGGCAGACGCAACTCAGCATACACAACCGACCGTACCAGCACATCCAGTCGCCGGATGCGCACCAGGTGTGTACGTGTCTGACATGTATTCTGACCTGGAACAATCTCGGGCTGGCACTCGACTTTGCACATTGGCAAGGCCATCTTGACGCTGGCATTCCAATACCCACGATACCGCGTGGACAGTGGCCCGAATGGAATAGGGAGCTTGTTGCGCGCCACGCCCGCATCGCGCGCAAAGCGGTTGAAAACTCGCTGTGGCACGCCGCCATCCTGGCACTGCACCTTGACAGCACGGTGCGGGCTATACGGCGACACTCGAGGAACACAGGTAACCGGCGGATGCACGTGGAAATGACGGCAGCAGAGGCAGCATCGGGAACGGATGCGTTTCTAGCCAAGCATGGACCACCGAGCCTGGAGTTTCCGTACCAAAGGGATGAGTATTACATGCTGTACGTGTGAAGGGCCACTTAGTTGGACAGATTGTTTGGGCGCTGACTTGACATGTTAGTGAAGCATACCTACCGAACCGGTGGTGGAAGAAGGCAGGGAATTACTGGTTCTACACTATAGCCGGTCAGCACGAGCGCGATCTCGAGCTCGTCAAGCGGTTTACCAAAAGGTAAATTTGTCCGTGTTCTGTCCATTCTGCTAGTTTCTCTATTTGTATGAGAGTCTTTTTTTTTTCTTCCGCAGAGAACAAGTTGAAATCAAGCAAACAAGCGAGAAAGAAAGAAGGAAGGAAAGAAAGAGAAGCTTTGATCGTCATAATGATTCATTCGTCACAGTGATCAACTGGCTCTGCTCAACCACGCCATGGCGAGCATCGATGCGGACAATTGGATGACGGATGTGCTGGACTACAAAACATATATGGTGCCTGCTAGCAGGACGTCGTCGTCTTCGTCGTCGGCTGGTGTCCGGACAAGAACGCTCAAGCACTATGCAGCGATTGTGTAACAGGCGTGACTACTTCGTAAGCGTGGTTTGAGTTTTGATGGTTTTTTTTTCTTATATAAAATTGATGTAGTGAAATAGGAGTGTGACCATGTTGTTAAAAGCTTTTGTTCAGATTGTTCAGATTGGTACATCAAGTGTAGCGCAGTCGAATAAAGTTGGGAATGCACAAGACGGCAAATGGACCTGACGTGGTAAGAGGAGTAGTTTGCCTGGTTGAGAAAAGAGGGCCGGCAATCAGGGCCATCTGATGTCCACATGAACAAGGGGGGGAAGGGGGGGGGGGGCGGCAACGAGGAAGGCCAACGAGGAGTGTCGGATGGGAGATGATGGCACATGAACGATGGCCCTGTGCTAGAAGCTGGGCGTGTGGGCCTATGGCCACGGGCTGTTGACAGGGAAGCCGGGCTGACCCTGTGCAAGCAAGGGCAGAGGGTATGGATTGGCATGTGGGCAGGATTTGGCCTTACTCTCAGTGGTGGGGCTGGTAGTCATCATAGAGGCGATGTAACTGGAGGATATGGCGCCATTTCTCATGTGTTTGGTCGGCAGAGGGCAGGCATGGTGATGGCACTGAAGAAGCAGTGCCAACATTGGAGGGGGTGAGAGTGAGCGTGTTTTTTGGTTTGTGTGTCTGTGGGGAAGAGCAGGATGATGTGGGGGGGAAGGTGCCTCGGTTGCGTCTGGCGGCAAGTAGTGCTAGTGTGTACATAGTAGGTAGGTAAGTAAGTAAGTAATATGTGAGTAAGTAGGTAGGTGGGTGTGTAGTGCTGATTTGCGCGGGCTGTGAGGATTGGGATCAAGAACAGGACGACATCAACATGGGGGAGTCGGGATGCGAGATCAGTCATGATGTCGGATGATTCGTCAGACGTGGGGTGAAGGGCCAAGTCGTGTAGAGCAAGTACATGGATGGCTGAAGACGAGGCAGCAGCTGGACGAGGGGTCAGCAGTGACGTAACCATGTCTTGACATGTAAGCTGAGGCGAAGAATAGAAACAGGCTGAAGATTGCATGCACACACACACACACACACACACACACACACACACACACACACACATACGCACACGCGAGGCGACGGGGTGCAGATGGGAGAGGGCAGGCACAGGGAAGCGCATCTAGGGCAAGCGGATGACGTTGCTGAGGCAGGTACATACGAGCTGCCGACGTACAGCCGGATCCCGAGACATTGGGATGCCTTTTGTGTGAGGTTGCGCGTGGCCAAGGTGGGCGGCGAGGAATAAAGCTGAGGGGGACAAGGCTACGAGAAGAGGCTGAGAGGTTGGTGCTGGGCAAGAGTGTGTATGCAGTAGCAAGTGCATGTCTTGTGGCGGCTTTTGTATATAGAGTCCAAGTATGGATTTGAATACTCACACCCAAATACACAATAACTACACACATACATAGTACATGTATGTAGTGTAGTACTAGAGGGAACACGTCGTGGGGCTTGAGTGTGTGTGTGTGTGCTGCCGCCGTCGGCAAGCTCGTCGTCGCCGGGCCAGCCGCCCAGGTCGAGTGCGTGTCTCGTCTCATCGGCCCGCCCCAGCCAATTCGATACGGGCCGGTTACTCGAGGGACATGATTGGATACCGACGCAGTGGTTCGCTGGCTCCACAAAGAGAACGAGCGGCGCCTGGGTCTTGTCGATGCACACCACACACTCTCTCACACACGCACACGCACACGCACACATGCTCCCGTCCATCGACTAACTATGCACCATGTACCATGTACACCTCACACACTCGCGACCACACATGTACACACACGCACACACGCACACACAGCATGGTGCGCGACAACCGGCGAGCCCCCCCAGCATCCCCTGGCTGGCCGCCCGTTGACTGGATGCGACGGTTGACCGCTGCAGCCCCATTGCTCATTGCCCGCCAGCCGGCCAGGGCGAGTCGCTGCACGCAGGCGGCCCTCGCAGCGCATCGCCCACCAGCGAGTGCGGTAGCGCTGATTGGCCGGGGATGCAGTAGCGCAGGCCGGCGGGCTGGAAGACTGGAAGAGGAAGCATCTATCCCAGCTTCTTGGCGCATGCGAGCCGCGTCAAAATCTCGTGCTGCCTCGCTCCACGTCCCCAGCCCTTTGTCCCCTGATCCTGATGCACGTCCAGGCCGCCATTGCTGCTGCTGCTGCTGTTGTTTGGCGACTTGCCCGTCACGACTAACGGCCGATTTACAAGACCCTTTTTTCACGAATTGCACGGCCGCCCACCCTGCCCACACCCCTACTGTTGTTACTGTTACTGTTACTCTGCTGCCCCGTCCGCCCGACTACACTACCACCACCTCCACCTCCACCGCTACCACCACCGTCACCACCACTACCACTACCACTGCTGCCTCCGCCTCCCACCCGCTCACCAGTGCCAGCCGGTCTTGCACCTCCCCCGAGCTACCGCTGCATCTCCACTACCCCCTCCACACCACACTGCACCATCGCCACCCCCCATATTTCCACGCACTCGCTCCTGTCCCCCCGTGACTACGCCCTCGACCGCCCTCGGGCTTCCCCCTCATGGCCCTCCTCAAGAGCGACCGACCCTCGCGCGACGCCAAATCCCCCGCACCTCACTCCTCGCCCCTTGCTCGGGTCATGCGCGAGTTCGAGGAGCTCGTAGAGAGTTTCGAGGCTGGCTTGCTACGCTCGCTCGCCGACGACCAGGACGGCACCGCTGCCGACACATTACATCTCAAGGACGCCTCGAGTGACCGCGTCCGCCGCGAGGCCTGCCGGCTGGCCATCTCCGATCTGAGCAACAAGTACACGCCCACGTACATCCGCCGCTCGCTCAACGCCGCAGAATTGGAGGGGAAACGAGTCGAGGACCAACTGCAAACCCTCTCTCTCAATGGCACCATAGACGCAGACGCCGATACCGATACCGATACCGATGCCGATGCCGACGACGGCAGCCGCCTGGGCTCTCTATATAATGGCTACTTCCGCCTCTACTCGACGGAGCTCTTTGACCTCCTGGGCCAGCCCGCCTATCTGCGCTTCGGCACTCTGCGCTTTCACAATAACTCGGCCACCCAACACACCGACATAGCCTCGCAAGACCAGTCGCTGCCGTCCAGGGTCTCGGTTGAGCTTGCCCTCAACGATTCCTTCTTCGTCGCCGACTCGGAGGAGACGCTGCCCTACCATACATTCCGCCTCCCCACCGGGCCCTCTCTCCAAAACCGCGGCATACTCAGCAGAAAGCCCGAGGATAACGGTGCCTTGCCCCAGTACGACTCGTGGTTGCTTTTTACCTTTCTCGGCAATGGCTGCATCAAGCTTGAGGTGCCCATTGAAATGTGCGCAGATATATACCGAGGCCGTCTACAAGGATGCGAAAACGAAGAGGTCCTCTTTTGGGGCTTCTTCGTCGATGATGAGGACGACGAGTAGCATTGGCTTTGGCTGGAGTTGGGGTCAACAAGGCTTTGGTATTGGAGTTGGGCGCAACAGGACTGGCCACATCGGCCGCTACACCAGGTGCTTGGATATGCATTCACGATTGACGAATTTCCTTTGATCACATTCTTAACCTTCTCCCACGCTCCTCCTGCGGGCTATCCATTTTTTCCACCCATACACGTCATTCCTTCGTATCCTTGTTTCTATCTTCATTTTGGACTCTAGGGCGGCATTTGTGCATAGCATTTTACATTATATCAAAAGGCGGAAAACGGGCTAGATGATAGAGCGCGTGAACGCGACACAAGTATTTGGTACCTCGATAATACAGACTGATGATCGAATCACATGCGCCGGAAAAAACTAGTGCCGATCCGTTGCTTCTTACCTTGGCTCCACCTTCTGCTTCTGCTTTTGCTACCTTCTATGCATACTTACTCCACTCGTCTTTGATTTGTTGAGCATACTGGCTGCCTTTCCGGTGACACACACACGCACAAGCACAGCGACAGCAGTCATGGCTGCGAACACAGGATTCCGACTGGGCGAAGACCAATTTTCAGAGGCGAGCGACAGCGACCAATCACAACATAGCCAACGGAGCCCTTCACCCAGGCAGGCCAACGGCCAGGTACCTGCACAGAAATCTAAGAAGAAAAAACAAAAGGACCGACGTAAAATGGGCGCATTGGCCGACGAGCTAGTCGATGTCTTGGATGATGCCTTTTCGGCACCGACGGCCCATGCATACACTGGTAAGTCACGTGTTGTGGCTCATTGCCAGTTCATGCAGTCACTCTGCACGTTTGGTTGCTTTTGATGTGGGGAAAGCCGATGAGCTGAAGCAAGGTCTAACAAGCTTGTTTAGGTACTGATCAGCAAACAAGCGGTGACCAGAGCATCATGGTTGACGCCGAATCTGCGGGCAAAAAGATGAGTAAGTTGTCTTCTTCTCGACAGTCATACATATGAACTAGTATTCCGACTGTTTGTACTAAATCTTAGTCCAGACAAGCGCACTCGTCAGAATCTCGCGAGGATGCAGGCCCGCAAGGAGAGGAATAGCGTCAAGATGAAGGATGTTACTCAAGACAAGACATTACAGGCCGAGATGGCCGCTGCAGAGCGAAGAGGCATGTCATTGGAGGAGTATCGAAAGCTCGGCTCTGGAAAAGGCATGTCCAAGGCTTCGGCGAGGAGGGTGAAGAAGGAAGCTATGCGAAAGCAGCGTGTGGCTGCAATGGTGGATGAAATGGAGATTGGATAGGATGCGGAATCAGGCACGCTGAGTTGCATCTCCATCCGCTCGTCTTCATTCAAGATTGAAGCTTCCACCTTTCCGTCTCCCTTGTCTAACCCTTACTTGAAAAACAGGCTGGTCCAAATTTAGCCTTTGCAAGACTGGCTACACACTAGTTTGTAAATCTCACATGATCAGCACTGCCTGCGAACACCCTACCTGGACAAAACGACCGGGCTACTGCAAGAAATCAGTCTCATTTCCAATCATTCCTTGCGTCCCTTGTCCTCGCTTGTACTTGATCCATCGCCACCGCCACCACCGCTCTTTCTTCAAAGATAGGGCTATGTTGAAATCATGCTAAACTCATACTAGACCAGAGAAGAGCAGACTGCAGCAAGCAAAAGGAATGACGGAGAAGAAGCAAAAAAAAAGGCCGATGTCCGTCTTTCTTCGACAGCGCCCTACAAAAGCAATTTACCGGAGGACACATAAAAACAAGTAAAAAAAGCAAAACACGTCCGCAAAGGCCAGAATGCCATGGTAAACATTCGCAAAGCATGTGGGAATCGCGTTTACGCATTCTCATCCTTTTTCCCCTTTTTCCACGCTTCTTCTTGTTTTGCCCACTTTCCTTTATTTTGCTCTACTATCTACCGTCGAGCCCTCCCCCGGGGTCTTGCTTTTCCACTCTCATCTGACGTGCATGCTTGCTACTACACACCAAGGGTCCGTCTGCTTGACATTGTCTACTTTTTCTTCTTTATTTCTTATTCTGGCGAGAAACCACGCGGGCGTTGTGAACGGTGAACGAGACAAGGGGCTAACCTTCCAAGTGGGGTGCGGGCATTTGATGAGTACTTACTGCCCTTTGGGTCATGGCTGACTTATTTTTTTTTAGCTCTGGACACATGTACAGTGGCTGTTTTTTTCCTCTTCTATTTGTTCTTATGCTGCGTCGATGGCACGATGTGTGCGTATGTGTGCACCTTTATATTACAGGTGGGGGACATGGACTTGTTGAGGAGTGTTCGGTGCTGGCAGGCCGGACATGTATGTCGCTTGGTACTTTGTGGGGTTGCCAAGGGAGGGGTACTCAGCACTCAGTATAATTTTCCACGTACCAAAGACGGATTAATTCTTGTTTGCTTGATCAAGAGCTAAAGTGGTATACCACATCGTCCAACACACCCAAGGAATACAAGACATGTAGAGTATTATAGCATTATCAAAAACGACTTGCGTTTTCTAGTTTCAAAAAAATACCTAACATAACTACATCCCTGGCTCATAACGCGTGTTACCACATCATCTCGTACTCAGTCTACTCTTGGATGTTGTGTACCTGACCGCTCGAATCAATCTCCACCTTTGTCTTGCGGAGGCTGGCATTGCGGGGGTTGGGCGCCTCGAAAATCTCCTTGAGCTCCTCGAGCGTCTTGCCAGCAGTCTCGACAAAGAAGAAGAAAATGACGGCAATCTCGACGCAAATCCATCCAATGTACACGAGATAGAGCCTCCATCCAATCGCCTCCATGCCGACAGAAATGCCATACGTGTTGACCACCATGGCAATGTTGAGGAAAAGAAAGTTGAGGCCAGAACCCTTGGCGCGAGTTCGGTTCTCCAGACACTCGACAGAATACAGGGTCTGCAGAGGCGTCCAGCCCCATGCGAAGAAGATGCCAAACAGATAGATGGAGACAATGGTGCCGTATGCGAGGTTATTGTCTGGCTTGGCGGTTGCGGTAAATGCGGTGAGGAGAATGTAGGAAAAGAGACCGCCCCAGAGACCGCCCATGAGCATCTTTCGGCGACCAAGCGTGTCGAGCAGGGTCGCACCGTAAACGGCCGCGAGCATGGAGAAGATGGGATTGATTGCGTTGATGAGAAGCTGCTTGTTGGGATCCTTAATACCAGCATTTTTGATCTAAACCCACGGATTAGTCTGGTGCATCGAAGGGTGTAGTCGTCACATTAAGACTTACCATGACAGGCATAAAGTAGCTGACGACGTTGTTTCCGCTCCATTGGCCAAAGAAAGCCATGGCAATCACCATTGCCAATCGGTACCTCGCCGCACGCGTGTTTACGAGCTCGCGGAAATCCCACCAAGCATTGTCAGTGGTCGTTCGAGCAAAATCCTCGGTGATTTCACGGAGTTGGAGCTGCACAATCGGAGAGTCCTCGTTGCCATTGCCGTGGTACTTGGCCATGATTGCAATCGCCTCTTCCCGCCTATCGTTTGCCAAGAGCCATCGTGGCGTCTCGGGAAAGACTAGTGCCAAGTAAGCTTTTGACCTCAGGAGAATCTTGAAATAACGTCGACTTACACATGATCAGAGCCATGACAATGGCGGGCATAATACATTGGACAATGGTCGGGATCCTCCAGCACCACGCAGAGTCGCCCATGTGCAGGTTGGTTCCGTACGTGGTCCAGCCGGCCAAAATGTTGCCAACCCACCAAAAGTTGTTATACATGCCGGCCATGGTTCCACGGTAAGCGGGATGGGCAAGCTCTACAGTGTATGCGGGACCCGCTGCAGAGGCGATTGAGGCGCCAAATCCGAGAACGAAGCGACCAGCAATAAAGTGGCCCGTCTCGTTTGCCGTTGCTTGGACCGCAGTTCCGACCATTACGAGCGCACAACCAACAAAAATGCAGATACGGCGACCCCAGCCGTCGGCCAAAAGTCCGCAAAAGGGGAATGCTGCAATCTGGCCCAAGTTGTAGATGATGAAGATGATACCGGTGCTGGAACCCTCGCCAGTCAGGCCAAAGGTTTTTTGGTAGCCTTCCATGGCGTTGATTGAGCCCATCAAAGAACTGTCGAAACCGTTAAGCGTGGAAACCAGGTATCCAATGCCCATGATCATGTAGAGCCTGATCATTCCTGGAGACCATAGCTTTGGCTTCTCGGCCTCAATGGCAGCGGCTATGTGGAATTAGCATTGTTGCTCGAGAGCAGGGTTCGGCAAACTTACCCAGAGCGACCGAGGCTACGTTCGTCTCCTTGACGGTCTTGTGCTGCAGATCATCGTCGACTGCACTGAGCTGGTGCGTCACGGCGCCCATGTCCTCGTTCTTTTCCGCCATGTTGTACAACGACGACTCGGGTTGTGGAGAAGAAATATGAAATTGTGCTCCACTGAAAAGCTGGAGAGAACCCGGAAGACTGGATCATCTTATAGTGTGAAGCTTTCTCCGCAAACTACTAACACTAACTGCAACCCTAAGGCATGGCACCGAGGCACCTGTCATCCTTGACATGGCTCCCGTGCCTTGTCTATGCTCTAGAAGGCCGATGGTTAAGCACGGCCAAGACACCGTTAGCCAAGTGCGCCAGTGATGTGCGGTAACAATGCTACTTTGGGACCGGAGGAGACACGGAGCGCCCAAAACATGCATCTCACCAGAGCGCTAGGATTTAATCATGTCACGATCCATGGAAAAGCCTTCCCGAGGGGCGGGACAAGGTCCAGATGCAGGACAATAGCGACGGTACCTGCCAGAACGCACCGTCCGCACGACGCCACGCGTAAACATCTCGCCACGGCCACAAATCAAAAGATTGGGCAGCTCGGCCAAATTATGAATCGAGATGCGCCGGGCGAGAGAGCATTTGGCGTAGTCGACCTGGGCAGCGGGGCGTGGAGAAAATTTCGCGGAGAGTCTGGAGAAGCGGGCTAGCCACGTGCAGCATGCCTTCCGACTGCCACATGGAACCCTCAACGCACCCGGACATCGTCCCATTCCTATTCCGCTGCAAGTCCTCTTCCTCGCGTCACGCTTGCTGCTGCCCTCATTCGACCAGGCACATGGCTCGGCTACCAGTTTACCAGCGGGCGGCTTCCCCAATGCGGTCATCGACTATCACAGGCGGGGTTGCGATATCACAAGTAAAAGAGTAGAGAGCACAAATGTCGAGCAATGTACTACCATCTCCTCTGAACTCGTCAACAATGGTTTCAGGTCAGCACCCCCAGAGCGTCCCGGACTGGAACAATCTCCAGGTACTTCACAAGAACACTTTGCCTGCACGTGCCTACTTCCACAACTACACGTCTGAGGCCGATGCTCTCAATGCCGACGTGACCAAGTCCTCGACACACAGCCTATCGGGTACATGGAAGTTCCAGCATTCTTACTCTCCGTTCGAGGCGCCTGAAGGTTTCGAGTCGACCACCTTCGACACTTCATCATGGAGTGACATTGCTGTGCCTGGCATGTGGCAGCTGCAAGGCTTTGGTAAAGGTCCACAGTATACCAATGTCATCTATCACATCCCCGTAGACCCGCCCAATGTCCCATTCACAGAAAACGAGACGGGCTCGTACGTCCGCAAGTTTGAAATCCCCCAAGCACTAAAGGACAGCCAGATCCGCCTTCGGTTCGAAGGTGTTGATGCGGCCTTTCATGTTTGGGTCAACGGAAAGGAAGTGGGGTATTCCCAGGGTAGCAGAAATCCTGATGAATTCGACGTCACATCCTTTGTCGATCTCAACGGGGCGAATACGTTAGCCGTCAGGGTCTACCAGCACTGTGACGGGACTTATATTGAAGACCAGGACCAGTGGTGGTTGAGTGGCATGTAAGTTTCGGCGCTTCTCTTGGCGTGTTCGGTGCTTATAACTACAGATTCCGAGATGTCTCATTAGTCGGGTTCCCGAAGGCTTCTAGGATCGAGAACGTTTTTGCACAAACGCTCCTCGACTCTTCCTACACTGATGCTGAGCTCAAGCTCAAGATCACTGCCACTGGATCTGGAAAGGTCACAGCAAAGCTTCTGGACGCAAAGAAGCAAGAAGTTGCTTCCACAGAAGCTCAGATTGACGGCAGTGGCGAAACCAAACTCAGCATTCAAGTCAAGAACCCCTTGAAATGGACTGCCGAATCACCAAATCTCTACCATCTTGTGCTATCTACTGGTGACCAAGTCGTTGCTCAACGCGTTGGATTCAGGCAGGTTGAGATGAAAGGTGGCCTCCTCTTGGTTAATGGCAAAAGAGTCGTCTTCCGTGGAGTCAATCGCCATGAACACCACCCCACCTGTGGCCGTGCTGTTCCGTATGAATTCATGAAACAAGACCTGTTGACTATGAAGCGTCACAACATCAACGCTATCCGCACATCGCACCAGCTGAACGATCCACGGCTGTACGATCTCGCGGATGAGATGGGCTTCTGGGTTATAGATGAAGCGGATCTGGAATGCCATGGATTCGAAAGCATCTCGGACGCAGCGCTCACCACGGAACAGCGCGCTATGCCTTTCCGCGAGCGTCAGCTCCTCACTCGCAAAGAGGCTGCAGAGTGGACGACCAACAATAAGGATTGGACACACGCCTACGTTGATCGCGCTGAGGCGCTTGTAAAGAGAGATCAGTTGCATCCTTCCGTCATCATCTGGAGCTTGGGTAATGAAGCGTTCATGGGATGCAACTTTGTAGCCATGTACGAGCACATCAAGGCGTATGACGACAGCCGGCCTATTCACTATGAAGCCGACATTTACGCCGACACAATGGACATGTACTCTAGGATGTATCCTCCAATCGACGAGATCGTTCAGTTTGGCGAGGACAAGGAGAAGAAGAAGCCGCTTATACTTTGCGAATTCGTGAGTAGCGTACGCTAGACATATCCAACTCGGCTAACTGTATCAGGTACATGCAATGGGTAACGGCCCTGGAAACATCAAGGAATATGTCGATGCTTTCTACAAGTATCCCACTTTGCAAGGTGGTTTTGCCTGGGAGTGGGCCAACCATGGTCTTCTCACCAAGGACAAGAAGACTGGAGAAGAGTTCTACGCATATGGTGGTGATTTTGGAGAAGAAGTCCACGATGCAACATTCGTCATGGACGGACTCGTCAACTCTGACCACAAGCCAAATGCGGGTTTGATCGAGTACAAGAAAGCTATCGAGCCAGTGCAGCTACTGGAGTCGAGTGCCTCGAAAGCCACGTTTATCAACAGATACGACTTCATCACACTGGACCATTTGAGCTGCAGCTATACTACAACATCCGAGTCCGGAACCGGAACCGGATCTGGAAGCTTGGATATTCCATCTGGCATCTTACCAGGCCAGGCCTTTGATCTGCAACTTCCAAAGGTTGAAGAATCCAAGGGCGAAGTTCTGCTCAGCATCTCATTCCAGTTAAAGGAAGCCACGCCGTACCTCAAGGCAGGCTTCGAAGTTGCAAACGCGCAAGTCCCAATCACTTCGGTCGCGCCGCTGCAGCGAGCCGAGGCCAAGGGCAAAGAGATCAAGGTTGAAGCCGAGTCTAAGACGGTAATCAAGATTACGGCCGATGGCGTCACCTGGAAGTTTAACACGATTCATGGTTTGCTCACCTCATGGGTACAGGGTTCTACCGAGCTTATATCCGAAGCACCAGTGTTTGACGTCTTCCGTGCTCCTACCGACAACGACATACCGCAAGATGGCTGGGATTGGAAAGACAAGCATCTCCAACACGCCAAGGCAGCAACCCGTAAGGTCGAGTGGTCACAGTCTGGCTCAGACACTCTGAAGATTACCGTGCACCAGCGTGTGGCCCCTCCAGTTCTCTCCTGGTCCATTGATACCATTCTGACATACACATTCCATGCCAGCGGAACACTCTCTGTGCACGTTGCCGGTACACCCAAGGGCCAAAATCTGCCGCGCACACTCCCGCGCATCGGTCTCGTTCTAGAACTCCCAAAGCAATTCCAAAAGGTCGAATGGTTCGGCCGCGGTTTTGGCGAGTCATACCGCGACAGCAAGCTCTCTCAGCCCGTTGGTAAATACACCGCCTCCAGCATCGATGAGCTGTGGGTCGATTACGAGGTTCCTCAAGAATCAGCAAACCGGACAGACACTCGCTACGTCAGCGTCACCAATGGCAGTGGCGCGGGCCTGCTTGCTCAATTCGCAGGCAAAGCGGATGCAGAGAGGAGGCTATTCGACTTCCAGGCCAGCCACTACAGGATGAAGGATGTGGCTGCTGCAGGGCATCCGCATGAGTTGAGGAAGAATAAGCGGGAGGAGGTTGTGCTGAGGTTGGATGCTCAGCATCATGGATTGGGTAGTGGTAGCTGTGGACCGAGGACGTTGGATGAGTATAGCTTGCTTTGTGAGCCGTTTGAGTTTGAGGTCCTACTGCAGGCGCCCTGATCTTTTTTTCTTCGTGTGATTTAGAATAGAAATGAAATGACATTGAACGTTGAAATGATTTATTGCAGCTCTAAAGAAAAGCATGCTTGATCTGCCTTTGAGTGGTGTGCTACAAAATGAAGCAAGAATTGGCTGGCTCTAAGAAGCTAATGCCTGTTTGTCCGCTGACAAGATAGTGGAACGTCCATTCCACTCGGTTAGTACAATTACATGATTACAGCTTTAGCTGTATATTACGATAAGTCCTAGAGAGGCTTTCATACAAAAAGAAATGCGATCTAATTAGCTCTAAGAAGCTTTACTCTAATCATGTGTGCTAAGATATCAGGAATTCCTGTAAGTATGCGGATAGCATCTAGTCACGAAACGAACACTAGGAATCTCCGCCAGCCCAAACCAGCCAAACAGCGAGCTCAAAAGACCTATTTTATATATGATGCTATTATAAACATTTATCGGCCTAAGCTTAACCCCTGTTCAAGCTCCTTCACCGTCAACAATCGTACTTAAGCTTACCAAGCTTGGCGACTGGGTGAGCTTGACCGCGACATGTTTGTTGGAGCCTTCTCTAAGTGATGTGCTACAAAATCAAGTAAGATCTGCCTGGCTCTTGAGCTTTCCTCTACCTCTTGCACCTCTCATATCTTGATTTGTCCGTCACACCTTTCTTGTCCCTATCTTGTCAGCGGACAAACATTCATTAGCTTCTTAGAGCCAGCCAACTCTTACTTGATTTTGTAGCACATCACTTAGAGAAGGCTGCCGAACAGTCGCACCCGGTGGACAAAAAATGCGAAACTATACGTACGTACATGGGCCACTAGCCAGCCAAAACCCAACCAAAATCGTAACGTGCTAGAAAGTCAGCAACTTCACAGCTTTATTACACTACCATAATATTGTAACTATTCCTGTTTTTTATGTGAAATACACTTGCTATATATGAAAGTATCATTTACAAGCAAAAAAATAGAAAGGCGCCAGTAGTTGGTGCTGTAGACTCTCTAAAGTACGGGCTATCTTTGGAGTATCGCATTTCTTGTCCACCGGGTGTGACAGTGTAAGTGAGTGCCCCACTTATTTGCTTGTCATCAAGTCTGGATGAAGGTGAGCGTTGGCAGACAGGCGCGAGGGCCATGACGTATCATGTAATTGTGCTAACCGAGTGAAACCAACCTTCCTCTACTATCTTGTCAGCGGGCAAATAGCTATCAGCTTCTTAGAACCAGCCAGCTCTTACTTCTACACCATGGTTGATACACCGAAGAAACGACGCGTAAGCAGTCTCTTGCCAATGCGTAATAGCGCCAGTATACTAACGTTCCCAGACGGACCGGTCACCAGATAGCGCAACGGCGCCAAAGCGGACGCGCATACACTCAACTAGCCGATCTACTAGATCTGACACGCAGCCGAGGCAAGATCGAGAAAGCTCCCTGTCGAAAGATGAGGACTGGGTTTTTCGCATCAAAGTCTTATCGGCTACCACCAGCCTCAATGATGAGCTCTTCAAAGACGCAGTAAGAGGCTTTGCCCGTATCTGCTTCCCTGATGGTATTCTGAAGCAGTTGGGACAACATGTCGTGGAACAGCACATGCGCGAAAAACAAGCCAAACCAGCAAATATACAGCGAACGATAGAAGCCTTTCAGCCGGAGATGATACGCCGTTTGACAGGCATGCTAGCTGGGTACTTCGATACACCCGGTCAGGTAGTCTCGGCTGTACAGGTCGCGCTTGGAGAACGACACGAGACTCAAAATAACGAAGAAACCATGGACTCTAGCAATATTATCGTTGAGCAATCTCGTTCCCCGAAGAAAAAGAGGCGCAGTCATAGTAGGAAGCTTCAAGACGCTACGCCATCACGCGATTACGATAACAACTTGGACGGCGTTTTCGTAGATGTGGAATGCCCAACAACCCCAGCAGAAAATACCGTCTCCAATTTCAGCACGGTTTCTCAAAGACAGAAGGATAAGAAGATTTCATCCACATGGGACTGGAATATTGACCCTGATGAAGTCACTGAAGAAGCTATACAACATGCCTTCCCACGTACTGCTGATCTGTTCGCATATCATACTTTGCCTACCACCCAACAAATGCTGGGACCCACAGCATCGAGAAAGGAGATGAGGCTTGACATGCGATCACTGCTGAACGGCATGTCCCAAGAGGAATTCCAGAAGTGGGTTGAAAGCTTGGATAAGCTTCGCAAAGGCAACCGCGGAATGTTGGTCCGGCCAGAGCTCACTCTAATGAACAATGGTCAATTGTCCCGTGTGACATCCGCCCCAGGCCAGTCGACGCTAGTTATTAACATTCTATACAGAATGCGCAGGTGGTGACCGACCTGATTTTTGGCCCTTGGCCCGCAGTAACTGTACTAAACCGAAGAGATATGAGGGAGCGCATCTTGAAGATACTAAAGCAACGAGGGATTTCAGAAGTACATACCCCTATGCTTTCTATTTAATTCTTTTATTCGGGTTCTAACTTAAGCAGGTGTCAGTTGAGCCGGTGAAGTTCAAGAAGGTTTGTCATAACCACCAGACTCAAACCCCTAAAGGGCGCGCATACATGGAACGCATCCTCCGTCACTTAGTCTTTTTACACAAAGACAAATTTACCGAGTTGAAAGCAACACCGGTTGTCAAGGAGTGGGAACGAAAGACAGGCCTGGAATGGTGAAGCTCGGCACGGGGCTGCAATCGTGGCCAATGAGAGTTTGGGCAAGCAGCTCGGTATCTGATTCTAAACATTAGGGCGCGAGGGTTAATCAAGCGGCAAGCTATTGTAATGCGCCTAGTCACATACGACGGAACATATAAGGGTCTCTGTTAATGTAACAAACTCTAGGTTACTCAAGTTTCTGTACTGAAAACGTCCTTCCTACATGATACTATTCGATAGCTATTCTTACCCTCTCCTACTAGGATTTTATTTACAAGTCTTTAGAGTTTCTGTCATAGAAATATATGCTATCAAACATTCTTTAGGATACTTAAAACTTGTTTAATAAAAATCATTAAGGATATAAGGGAAAATAAGAAAGAAAAGGGTGTTCTTCTTCTAAGAGTAAAACACTAATAAACTTAGACTCGTATATTCCGAACTGATTGCAAAAATAACCATAATACACCTGGTTGTGATCCCTACATGTTCTGTCGTATGTGACAAGGCGCAGTGTGTATGAGGCGGCGCTGTATAGGTGAAGCACATAAACCAGGATGGAACGTACGTACCCCCAACCACGTAGCCCCTGGTTTTTCTTTGTCAAGACCAGTTGCTTCCCCAACACCCCGAATACGTGTAGTATGTAAACAGATGAATTCGGAGCCAACCCCACCGAGCGGCTACAGGAAAAACAAGACCCGTCCCGAGAGGGGAAAGAGAATGTGGGGAAAGGGTACCCCACATTGGCGGAGAAAGGGTTACTGTCAGAACCTTGTCTATTGCGCAGAGTCCCCCAACACGAGCGACATATTAAAGGAGTAAGCATTTTGTTTTCTTGATAACTAAACTCGATTCTAATAAAAAAAAAGCAAGAATACATTGTAAACAAGCGATATCATCCTTTCTAAAATCGCTTACTTTTTTCTTCGACTAATTGCCTTGCCACTGCCATTTTTCCTTTATTACTACTACTACTACTACTACTACTACTACTACGACTGCTACTACTACTAGACCGAGAAACAATGCCTCCACCATCTTCCGCATACACGGATCCCACATACCAATCAACCCACTACAACCTCTTCCGCGACTCCATTACTAAACCTCTAACGCGCGTGCTGCCACCCGGCATTTTGCGCTCGACATTCGATGTAGCGCTTGCGCGATACAGGAGCGTGGTAGGGGACGAGCAAGTCTACGACAGCGAAGAGAGACTAGTCGAGTATATTGATCCGTACGAGCTGCATGAAGCGGAAGGCACGAGGAAGGTTCCTAGTGCGGCGGTGAGACCCAAGAATATAGAAGAGCTCAAGGGGGTACTAAAGGTGTCGAATGAGTTTGGGATTCCCGTGTGGACGTTTTCGAGGGGAAAAAATCTAGGGTCTGTTTTCCTTCTCTTTTCTCTCTCTCTCTCTCTCACATTTTCTAATATAAAATGTGATTGCCTATGTGATGAAGATGGCTTCTAACGTTTGGAATAGATATGGTGGCCCAGCACCGCGAGTCACGGGGTCCGTGGCACTAGATTTGCACCGCATGAATAAGATCATCGAAGTCAATGCCGAGTATGCCTACGCCGTTGTGGAACCGGGCGTTACATTTACAGACCTGTACGACTACTGTGTCAAGAACAAGCTAAATGTGTGGCCGTCCGTTCCGTCGCTGGGCTGGGGCTCCGTCGTTGGCAACACACTCGATCGCGGTACAGGCTTCACGCCGACATCGACGCACCACCAGCACATTGCTGGCCTAGAAGCCATGCTCGCAAACGGCGATCTGGTGCGGACAGGCCAATTTGCTGTGTCCGACTCTCCGTCTGCGCATCTCTCCAAGTTCACCTTTGGACCAAGCATCGAAGGTCTATTCTTACAGTCAAACCTAGGCATCGTGACCAAACTGGGCATTTGGCTCACACCCGCGCCGCAGGCTTACATGTCATGTACTTTCAACATGCCAGAGCTCGAAGACGTTGAGACAATTGCCGACATCTTTGGCCCACTGCGCCGCGACGGCCTATTGCCAAGCACCGTGTATGTGTCCAACGTGACAGAGTGGCTCGGTATGGTGGGCCAGCGCGAAGACTTTTGGCCGCACAAGACGCCGATTCCTGACTGGCGGATCAAAGAGCTGCAGACGGAGCTTGGACTTGGGTACTGGAATGCAAAGTTCGGCCTGTACGGGGCAAAAGACGTGATTCAAGCGCATTTCGACCAACTGCAAAAGATTATCCTGCAAAAAGCGCCAAAGGGCCGGTTGGCGGGTAAGATGTTTGCTGCACCAGAGGGCCAGACGCTCGATGCAGCGTCAGTACCTGAAGCTGAAGGCGGCTTCTTTGTCGGAGTACCTTCGCTCTGGTCGCTGCCCATGGTCAAATTCAACTTGCCCAAGTCTGGAGGCGGCATTGGCGCACATTACGACTACAATCCGATTATTCCGTCCAATGGCAAGGAGATCTTGTCGTGGGTCAAGACAGCCAAGGGCATTTGTGAAAAGCATGGATTTGACTTGTTCTGCGACTTCTTCATGCACGAACGTCATGTCATCTTCGTAGACATGTTGACATTTGACAAGTTGAATGCAGGGCAGATAGAGGCGGTGCAGAGGATCTTTGACGACTTGTTCGAGCAGGGGAAAAAGAGGGGGTACAGCAATTATCGCAGTCATGTGGATTACATGGGTACGTATCTTTTGTCTTCTGCTGTGAAGTTTGCAGGAGCTGAAAAGGGGCTAGATCGCGTTGCTTCGCTGTACGATTTCAACGACCATGCATACCGGAGATTTGTCGAGACGATCAAGGACGCAGTGGACCCAAACGGCATTCTTTCACCGGGCAAGCAGGGCATTTGGCCAAAACGGTTCCGTGAAGAGGAAAAGACGAAGGCTCACTTGTAGTATGTGGTACTATATGGTGCCCTGAAAACGGTATGGTGTTGGGCGTATCGATGGCATTCTGGCCGTGGACGGTGTTTTTGAATGAATACCTATCTGTCATGTGCTTGATTGTGTTTTTGCGTTGTGTTGCCGTATAAACATGAGCCCCTGGTTAGTCCGGGAGATGGCTTGGAGGAAATGTTATTGATAGCAGCGCCTTTGCAGGAGATAGAGCAGTGTGTCTGTACCATGGATATCCGCATCATCGTGGAAGCACTCGGATCATGATGACTAGGATGCCATGAATTGTATACTATACCAGTGTCATGGGTCAGGGTTAGACGTTACGTGCAGTCTCGCAAGCTTGCTTTTCGAATAGTAGTAGTATACTACAGTTTGCAAAACACGGACAACAGACATCCGAGTCACGTAGCGGGAGCAGTGTCGTCTGCCTGTGCAATCATGATCGTCCCGCCGCCGAGATCGAGACTGAATAGATCGTGTGGTGCAATTACCTGTCGACGATCTGTTGCAGCCATCGACGAGTCGTGGAGATTAAAGCAGCGATAACCAATCGGTAAGATTGTCATGTGGAGATTAGCCAATCCGGAAGCCCCGATGAGTGTGGCATGCGAGTGTGGCGCATGTGGCGGTTGCAGCCAGCACATTCGGTGGCACAATGGGGGTGGCTAGAAAAGGGAGAAAGGGTTGAGGGTTGAGGGAAAGACCAAGTTGGGTGTGCACTGACTACTTACACTATGGCCACTAGGAGGGATGGTGAGGTTCGATAGCTGAGTGGTGCAGGGAGGCAAGCGGGAGGCGTGGAGATGTGGTGCCTGACGATCGATAAGTGGATTGCTGACGGTTGTGGGTGCAGATGTAGTAGTAGCGGTGGTAGTACTCCTAGTTTGGTAGTATTGTAGTGTAAGTAGTCTAGGAAGGTGCAGCAGCTCGGGCACATGGCAGGGTGGGAGGTGCAGTGGACGTGGCGTGCCAGGGCCTGAGGTGAAAATGACGCAGTGCAGGCAGGCGTGGCGGAGTAGCGTGGAGCGGATTCCATGGTTGGGGGCAGCGTTGGAGACGCGGCACCGACACCGACACAGACAGGCAGAATTTCGGAGCAACTAAGGTTGGCAGTGGCTGAGGAGAGGAGCAGCCAGTCAACGAGCAGGAGCAGCAGGCAGACTAAGGCGGAGGACGGACGGCTAGGGAAGTCTCGATCCGACGGCGCCGTCTCAGTCTCCATCTGATGGATGAATCTGATAGCAGCAGACGAGCAGACGAGCAGACGAGCAGACGAGCAGGCAGGCGGGCCAATGGCGACAAATGGCGAGGGCCGGAGCGTGGCGCGTCGGTTCCTGGCTGGCCATTGGAGGGTCGGGGTTCAGGCCGCAGCTGCAGGGCCAGGTCAGCAGTCACCAGCCATCCATCAGCCAAACCGTTGACGACCGTGGCCATGCATGACGACGAGGCGTGGGCGAGGTTGAAGCCATCTACATTATACTACACTACACTACACTACACTACACTACACTACACTACACTACATTACACTACTACATAGTGCACAGTCACGCCCACGTATGCATCCGTGTAGAGTACATGTATATGTATGTACAAACCCGTGTGGCGGTGGCCATGGCAAAAGACGGCAGCTCGAGACGACTCGACACGACGTGGGCCATGTCAGCGAGCGGCTCCAGGAGGGCATAATGTTTCGGAGAGGTGTGGCGCCCATGTTCTTGCGTCTTCAGTAGTGCAGAGTGGGCCGGCCTTGTCTGGCGCTCCTACACAGCCCCAATGGGCTTGCGTTGGTAGTCTGCCCTGCACCCGCCCATTCGCCTTTTGCACCTTGAACCAGCCCCATCGCCTCCCTGTCGCCTCACCCATCGCCTGCCTCCGCCGCCCTCATCGCTAAAAGGGCCGTCGCAGGAAAAAAAAAAAAGGCCCGTGGCCGTCGTGATCGACCCTGACTCGCTCCCCGTCTGCGTATGCGTGGATGTGTGTGTGTGTGTGTACACTATAGTGTGTGCTTACATAGTCGTCGTCGTCGTATGTACATGCCGACTAAGCCAGGCTGCACCACCCCATCTCTTCAGCCACAACCCCATCCACCTCGCTCGCCCTCGGCACCCTTTGACCACGCACCACCCGCGCCCTGCGACCCGGCTGCCCTGCCACCCTGCGCCTCACCCTCATCTTCACCTTCACCTCCACCATCACCACCAGGCAAGCCCTGCACCACCTTCCTAAACGCTCCCTTCTCCCCCATCCGCCCTTGCCCTTGCACGCTGTTCGCTGTATGCTGCACTGTGTGCTGTGGCTCAACCCCTCCACTGACGTCCTGCGCTCGCCAGGCGCCAATTGCCGCTTGTTCCACCCGGCCCGCTCTGTCTCTGATTGAACGGCACACGGCGACCGTGTAATACCATTGTTCAATTGCGAAACTGGCTCTCCCACCCGCCCACGTCCATCTCGAGTGTCGGTAGCAGACACTCGCACGCGCGCCGGTGCACGTCTGCATCTCATCGCATCGCAACAAAGGTCAGCACCACCGCGATCATCCCCCCATGCCGCTTCGCTGATCAAGAGAAGCCCTGCGCAATCTTGCCCGTTGCGACCTCGCCAGTGCTGACGCGAGTCTGAAGACGCGTATTCCAACTCCTCCTCGCTCCTGTCGCCCCAGCCCACCATGGCCGCCTCGACGCGAGCACTCACCCCAACGCCGACAAATCCATTCAATGCTGTCAACGGCCCCAGCACCCCAGGTTCTGCAGCGCGCAACTCGCACGGTGGCGCAACCTTTGGAACTCATCTCACAAAGTCTCCCCGCGGCCTGTCACCCCAGCTCTCCCCACAGGCCCTCGCCGGACCTGGTGCCCTCGCCGACGAGCGCCGCTTTCGCGAGCCTTCATCGCGCCAGACGAGCCCCAATCCTGCTGCTTCGGTCCTGCAGAGCCTGAACGGTACCGTCCACTCCATCGGTCATTCTTCAGGCGCCCCGCAAGAATCCGCGCCGCCCACAAAGGCCGACAAGATCGCGAAGCCACTCCTGATCCCAGACAACAATGGAGTCACCGGCGAAAACATGCAAACCAGCCCAGTCAGTCTTTCCAGCTTTGGCGATGGAGATGCGCCAAACGCGCCGGGTGCCTCTGCCACAGAAGGCGGTGCTCTTGGCAACACGGCTCGGGAAGGAGCGCCTCACCACCCGCAACAACAACAGCAGCCGCAGCACCATCAGCATCACCACCAGCTCATTGCCCCAAACCCTGCCGACAACCCGGGAAACCGCGCCTTTACCTTTCCCGGTCCCCTTCCCCCGGAACCCGATCCTCGCGCCCCAGCCCGCCAGATGAGTCTTCCTGGATACGGCCAAAACACGCCCAAATCGCCATCGACAAAACGCCACAAGTGCCCATACTGCTCTACAGACTTCACGCGACACCACAACCTCAAAAGTCACCTGCTAACCCACAGCCAAGAAAAGCCCTATGAATGTCCCACCTGCCAAGCACGTTTCCGCCGTCTACATGATTTGAAACGGCATACGAAACTACACACCGGCGAGCGTCCGCATACTTGCTACAAATGCGGCCGCAGGTTTGCTCGCGGAGATGCTCTTGCGCGACACAACAAGGGTCAAGGTGGCTGTGCGGGCCGCCGCTCTAGTTTCGGTATCGATGACGATCTTGGCGATTCCAAGGGCGACGAAGGCATGGACGGCGTCATCTACACTGGCGAACCTGACGGAGAGGGCGATGAAGAAGATGACGGTCGCCGTGTCAGTGAGCCCGCACGCAAGAGGCAAAACACTGGAAACTCGACGCAAGATTCGTACCACCAGCATTCTAGCACGTATCCGCCAATTGCCGCCAACAGGGGCTCGGGTAGCCAAAACAGTCTCCGACCTTACTACCCAGGCTCTTCTGCGCAGGCAGCCAACGTGTCTCCCAAAGCAGCTCCATCCAACCTTGCTTCTGTTCACAACGCAAACACGCAGTCGAATGTCTTTGGCCAGAGTAGCATGACAGAGAGTCCACGACCGCTCTCGCCAGGTCAGCAGGAACAACATCGCCTTGCGCCAGACAGCAACATGCCAGGCTCGCGCTCACCAAGCCTGTCCCATCATATGCACCAGCAAAATTACGTCCGTGGCCATGGTACACCTCCTGTCAGCCTTGCTCCACCCAACGCCAGTAACGGGCCTCACTTGCCCTCTCTGCCTGGACTTAACCCCATGCCTTCCAAGCAAGGCAGTCAGGGAGGCAAGAGCAACGGCCCAAGCATGCTTCAGCACTCAGCCATGGCAGCTCCCGGAGGTGCTTCACAACCGGGCAGTCTCTCTAGCCACGGTGGCAGTGGCAGTAGTACACGTGAGGTCATGGGTAACCATGTCGATGTGTGGCAGTATGTTCGCGAGATTGAAGCTCGAATGGCTCGCATGGAAAAGGAGCACAACGACAAAATCTCCACGTTGCAAAACGAAATCACCACACTGCGTGCCCAGCTGGCGCAGCAGCATGTTAACAACACACAAGGCCAACAACAAAGTCATTAGTGGAAGCCCTTATTTTTAACTGCAAGGGTTTCCCTTTGTGGTTTTGCTGCAGTGTCATATTTTTTCCTCCATGTGTGTGGCTTGTTGTTGTCCTTAGACCGGCGCTCTGCATGGGCAATGCGGTGAGAAACGCTCAACGAGCGAATAACGGAGGCGTTCTACGGAGTACAAACCCAAGATTGAGCAACAGACGTCAGGGATCACGAAGAGCATGTAACAATGATACCCCATGCTAAGATTGCATGCACTCGATATTTGATCATGTTTCGCACTTGGCTTGTCTCTACTTCCATCTTTCCTGTCTGTATAGTAAGTAGACTTCATAGTATTTATTTGAGTGTTTGATTGGATCAGCCGTGCAAATGCGGAGAGAGCTTGATGTGATGACGAGTATGCCGTAAAGATAGAGTTTTTTTCCCTACTACTACTACTACTACTACTACTACTACTACTACACACACACACACACACACACACACACACACACACAGGCTTGCGATGGGCTGTGGTTGGTGACGTACGTACGTGTGATGCCAGCAAAGCATGCAAAGCCACACGCGGGTCTCCTCCAGCATCTTCCTTGGCTGCTGTAGATGTGAAGGGGGTGAAGGAAGCGACTTGTGCTTCTTTTTGAAACCATTGCCTGGCACATGTAACTCGCTGGACGAGTCTTGTCGAAACAAGCAAACAGACGCAAGTACGAGGCTTGTGTGCAGCAGCGAGCACATGGCAGTTGTTGACAGCGGGAACGGGGATGGGGGCTGTAATAGAGGGCAGAAACGGACCTTTTGGGTCAAGTGCCGCGAGGGCGTCGACAGTCCCGAGCGCTCACCCGCTCCACTTGGCTGCTACACGTCAGAGCACTACCACCCAAATCTCTCACAACAGCGCACCTAGAACAGTGAACCCCTCACCGCACCCTGATCTGATTCCGGCTGATGCATGGCGAGCTGCTCTCCTGATAGGCGCTCCCGCGCAACGTTCCCACCTACTACGCCCAATCCAACAAGCCCATAGCCGCGCTGCCCATCCGCCCGCACAAGCCTGCCCTGCTTTGGCGGCCCACACTCATATCAGCCTGGAGCTCCACGCCATCTCGCTGCCATGTTGAATTCGTCAGACTCGCACCGCCGCCGCAAAAAGGACCCGGATCGCGAGCGCAGAAGCTCCCGCACAAAGGATAGGGACAGAGACAAGGACAAGGACCGCCCACGGCATAAGAGGAGCCGCTCCCGCAAGACCCGCTCGTCGGCCTCCAAGGACGACGACGACACTGAAAAGCCGCCCCTGCCCAGCCGCTCCTCGTCTGAACGGGTGCGCACTTCGACCTCGACCTCGACTCTCGCCTCCTCGCAGGCCTCCAAGTCGCACAAGATGGCAGTCGTGCCCGAAATGGGACGCCGCGGCTCGTTGGGCTCGGACAACACCTCGAGGATCAGCTTACCATACCCGTCGCATTCCAAGACGTATGCAAAAGAGAGCATCTACGCCCGCGACACTATCGACAGGAGAAAGTCGACCATGACGCCAGAAGCCACAGATGTCGACACAATGGTGGCAGACAAGGACAAAGAGGAGCCCGCTGTGGCACAGCCGCCCAACCACGTACCACCCCCGCCCTCGCGAGCGCCCCCGAGTCCCCCGCTCACTGCGACTACCGCCGCAGACTTGAGGAGGGCAGCCAGCTCAAACAGCATGTGGCGCAGAGACGCAGACGTACTTGCCCGGGAGATGGAGGATGGTCGCCAGAGCGTGGATAGCGGTACGCGTATGACATCGCACGCTGGCCCCCGGATAGCATCACGCTCTAGTATCAGGGAGGGCGACGAATTCGACGGTACTGACCTCACCTCCACCACCGGATCACAGCCTAGCACCATTCGTGCAAAGTCGCCTCAATTGGCGCCGAGGACGACGACAGCAAGTCCCTCAAATGCCCGGCCGCCGGGCAGGACCTCGACGCCGGTGAGAACATCAACCCCAGCCAGAACATCGACACCAATCAAAGTCAAAGTTAAGAGCAGAGCACCGTCTGAATACACCCTCGATTCGGATGCTACCTCTGTTATTCAGGACCACAGTGCCCACCATCGGGGCTCCTCTCCCCCGCAGTCAGATGCATCGCCCTCGTCTGTCGTAGATTCATCACCGCGCACTCCCACCCAGCACTCAGTTCTGCCTTCTGTTGTCTCCTCTGCCAAGGATGGACCGTCTGTGATTGAGGTCATGACAGATCCCATGTCCCGCACTCAATCGGTAGACCCCAGCTATGCACAGGCACCCATGACGCCGCCACCTCCACCGCCGCTGCCAATAATGATGGATGCACCTCGAGTTGACTACTTGCTGCAGAATGGTGGCCTTGCCAAGCCAATTCCGCGAAGCTTGCTGGCAGCCATTGATGGAGTTCCCGCTGCTTCGTATTCTCACTACACTACGCCGCGACTATCTGGTGCGCAGGCCCACGATGTGCGATCATTTTTCAAGCCATTGCAGAACGTTCTCAACAGTTACAATACCGTCATGGACACGAGTGGTTCGCTAGCCGTTGCCACGGGTTACCGTTCGGTTGCACGGCGCCTGCTCGATCGTCTCGAAAACGTTTTTGCTCGCAACATCTCATCTGAGCATTGCCAGTGCATGATGTGCTTTGATAGGCCAGTCGTTGAGGATTCTGCAGGGGTGAACTGGGGAGAGATCTTGGAACTGGTTTCCGGCCGTTGTGAGCTACCACCGTGGCCACCATACGAAGAGGGTCCTGGGCCCGGACTGGGTATATCATCTGACCTAGAAGCACCATGCCAACGAATTGATGTCGACGTTCCCGAGCAGTACCGCGAGCACTATGAGAAGCAGTCAAAGAAGACCAAAGTTGCAGTACAATCTTGGCTGTCTGATCAACAGGATAACGTTCCCGAAGATGCTGATGACGAGACACTCACATTTATCATGCTCACGCGCCTAGAGCAACCACAACGACCGCTCTTCTATGCGCTGC